TGCACTCTAGTCTGGGCGACAGAGTGAGACTCCAACTCAAAAAAAAAAAGAAAGAAAGAAGCCACTCATAAAAAACTGTAATGATTCAATGAATATGAGGTACCTAGAATAGTCAAACTCATAGAAACAGGAAGTAGAATGTTAATTTCCAGGGACTGGGGGAGGGAGGAATGGGCAACTGTTGTTTAATGGGTGTAGAGTTTCAATTTTGTAAGATGAAAAAGTTCTGGATCCCTGGTGACACTGGATTTAGCTTTTATTGGCCCTCAGTGGGAGCAATGTGTGTTAATATGAGCTACCACAAGTAATTTTTGAATTGGGCTCATCACATTGTGTGGTATTTTGCAGATTTTATGTGAAGAGGTTCTGCACTGCAAATAAAACCTACTCCCAAAAAATGTATGGTCTTGGGTCTCATTAATAAGTATAATCTAAGTTCATAGGAAAAAAAGTTTTGGAGATTGACTGCACAACAATGTGCATATACTTAACTACTGAACTGAATGTGTGTACACTTAAATTGTTAAGATGGTAAATTTTGGGTCATGTATTTTGTCACAACTAAAAAAAATTTTTTCTGGAAAGTACATGGGTAGAAGGAGATAGAATGGTGTAGTTCAGTTGCTAGGAGGGAAATGTGGGTAGATCTCATGGAGTTACGAGATAACAGTAATGGAGTCAACATTTGATGAGTATGTACCATGTGCCAGAAACTGCAATTCTCCTAAAAATCCTGCCTCAGCTCACTCTCTATAAATAAACCTTAAACTATCGCCCTGTGTATCTGGGGCTAGCTAGACTTCCAGGTACCATTTGTCACCCTCTAATGGTCACATTACATTTCCCAGGCTTTTAACATGCTGTTCCACAGAGCAATCGAACAGGCTGACAAGATGGAAGATGTACAAGGGCGCATCTCTATCCTAATAGAGAGCATCACCCATGCCATCTTCCTCCATACCAGCCAAGCCCTGTTTGAGAAAGACAAGCTCACCTTCCTGTCCCAGATGGCTTTTCAGGTGAGGAGATGAGTGACTCAGAAACATTTCTTTGTCTATTTTGTATTTTACTTCTGCTGAAGGTAAACATAGACAACTTTTTATGGAAGTCCTTGTTGATGGAGGAGAAGAGCTTGAGTTTCCCACAGGGAACTTGGGCCCGTGACGACCTTCTCCTAGGTCCCAATGGTTTGGTTTGGGTGGGTGTGCACTTTATACTCCCATAACAGCAGGCACCTTGAAAAATATCAATGAGACATTCTCCTTACCTATTCGGGTAAAGAAGCTTCAAGATACTACCAGAAAGGTTCTTTGAGATCAGGTGTATGAGTCCAGATCTGAGTGGTCCTGGAGTTACTCAAAGTCCCTATAAAAAACAGTAAATGGGTTCATCCATGTTGTTGCCTTCCAAGTAGCTGGAACTACAGGTGCACGCCACCACGCCTGGCTAATTTTTTGATTTATTGTAGAGACAAGGTGTCACCAAGTTTCCCAGGCTGGTCTTGAACCCTGGGCTCAGGCAATCCTCTCACCTTGGCCTTCCAAAGTGCTGGGATTACAGGTTTGAGCCACTGCACCTGGCCCAGATTTTCCTTTGTTCTCTCTCTTGCATGCTTGTGCTCACTCTTGCTCTCATTCTCATTCTCTTTTTTTCTTTCTGTCTTTCTTTCTTTTTTTTTTCTTTGAGTTGGAGTCTCACTCTTGTCATCCAGGCTGGCGTGTAGTGGCATGCTCATGGCCACCACAGCCTCTACCTGGTTTAGGCAATATTTGCCCCTCAGCCTTCCAGGTAACTGGAACTACAGACACATGCCATCACACCCGGCTAGTTTTTGTAATTTATTGTAGAGACGAGGTCTCACCAAGTTACCCAGGTTGGTCTCGAACCTCCGGGCTCAGGCAGTCATCTCGCCTAGGCCTCCCAAAGTGCTGGGATTACAGACTGAGCCACACGCCCAGCCTCTTTCTTACTCTTCTTTCTCAGAGACAGGATCTCTTTATATTGTCCAGGCTGACCTTGAATTCTCAGCTTTAAGTCATTCTTCCACCTCTGCCACCCAAAGTGCTAAGATTACAGGTGTGAGCCATCATGCCTGGCCTTAAAAAGAGTAGATGTTAAATCTCACCACAAAAGAATAAGTATGTGTGGTGATAGATTTGTCAATTAGCTTGATTTAACCATTCCATATTTTAAACACATATCAAAGCATCACATTGTACCCCATAAATATGTATACATCTTACTTATAAAATTCAATTAAAAATAAAATTAAGTGAATAGGTAAAGAGAGCTCTAGGTTCTTTGCCCCACCTTCAGTGAGACTGGCTTTCTTTTTGTTCTTTTTCATAAACAACTTAGTTTAAAGGTATTCATGATAAGAAAAAAGAAAACAACTTCCCATGTTCCCAGATAAAATAAGCATATTGTCTTTTTATTAGATGCTTTCTTGCATGACTTTTTCTATTAATCCAAACCTTAAGGAAAAGTCTATTTCTCACCTATTCTGTATCCTTCAAAGAAGACACCTTAAACACACCTGCAGTTATTGATAGACTAGGACTCTTCTCTCAATATTTTTGGTATTCATAGGTTTGGGGGGTTCTATAAGAATAGTATATGGGTAGGTGTTTTAGAAAGTATGTGATGAATAGAAGCAAGGCATTTCAGAATGAAATACACACTTTTATACATCTTGCTCATTAACAGGAAAAGGCCGGAGGTGATAATACAGGATATAGACATCCATGTGAAACTTCCTCTCGGAAGCCATAGATAAATTATCATCTTTCTCAAGTCCTGACAATCTGTGTAAATCAAAGCTTATTTTCTATATGGACGATGACTTGTTTTTTTAAATAAATTGATTTAAGAAAAATTGTCCAGGAAAATACAATGTTATTTCAATGCATGCTATCACTCATAATGCATTTTTTAAATATCTAGAATTTTAAAATAGCATAAAGCTAAAAAATGTTGACCATTTAACTTTATAAGGTTGTTACAGTTTCTATGTGGAAGTTAGAAGTACTTTATTTGTACCCTTCAAAATGTAATATGGGTATTTTTTTAATCAGTTCTATAATCAGACTATCTAAAGTTTATTCCAATTCATGCTGTGTTTGACTGTGTTTTTAAAACAATTTTCCATTTTTCTCAATATAATCTCATATATAAGAAAAGTCTTTCACACATCTCATAGTTTATTGAATATAATTTCTATACAGAATTAACTTATAATATTAGTTCTTTCTTCTGTTTAGTAATGTAGTCCATTGTCACCTGAGGGTTTCTCATTTTGATAACTTGTAAGACAAAGTTTGATCTAACAGCAGAAGACTAAATATGAATGCATACTTCAAATATGTTGCTAATACGGGCAGGAGTTAAAATTGTGGTAAATCCGCCTTTGTACTTTTCTAATAGATTTCTAATCCTAGTTTTGAGGTCATGGACATAATCTAAGATTCCCTGTTTTGACCATGGAACAGATACCTATCGGGACTCTCAGCAGGTGTGAATCTGCCTGCTCAGTTGTTTCTGCTAAATGGCGACTGCTTCCTGTGTCGTGACTTTGATGTAAGCCAAATAATCCTTTTCAATTTTGTCTACTTTCAAGATTTTATTGAAAAATAAAGAGATAGACCCCCTTGAGCTGGATGTCCTGCTTCGATTCACAGTTGAACACACTTATCTGAGTCCTGTCGACTTCCTGACTGCTCAATCGTGGAGTGCTGTTAAGGTAACATGGTTTCTCGGTTTCTAAATCTTATTTCCAATAGTAGGTCTCTCCAATGCAGAAATGTAGTTAATAGACTACAGGTGATATATTAGATACTATTTCAGTTGTAGAACTATACTATATAATGTGGTGTTTAATTAATCTTTGTATTATTATTATTATTTTTTTTTTTGAGTTGGAGTCTCATTCTGTCGACCAGACTGGCGTGCAGTGAACTACAGGTCCATGCTACCACGTCCGGCTAATTTTTTTATTTATTGTAGAGGTGAGGTCTCACCAAGTTGCCCAGGCAGGTCTCGAACCCGCGGGCTCAGGCAATCCACTCACCTCAGCCTCCCAAGGCGCGGGATTACAGGCTGAGCCACTGAGCCCAGTTTGTCTTTGTATTATTAAATTGATTGATTTCTTATTTGGAAGTGAAGAAGCTTTTGACCTATGTGTGGGCAGAAAAGTTAATAAATGTTTACGATGAATCAGGACCTTGGATAAAAGTCAAGTAATGTAAATGAATATTTTTTCAATTTGCTTAAATATAATCTCTTTGTTTTCTTTTAATTATATTTCTCTACTTTTTCTAAATTGTTCTTTTTTTTTTTTCTTTTTGAGTCGGAGTCTCACTCTGTCGCCCAGACTGGAGTGCAGTGGCCGCTCCCGTCCACTGCAGCCTCGACCTGCTGGGCTTCAGCGATCCTTCCGCCTCAGCCTTCCAAGTAGCTGGAACTATAGGAGCGCGCTACCACGCCCGGCTAATTTTTGATTTATTGTAGAGACGAGGTCTTGCCAAGTTGCCCAGGCAGGTCTCGAACCCGCGGGCTCAGGCAATCCACTCACCTCAGCCTCCCAAGGTGTGGGATTACAGGCTGATAAATTACATCACAATGCTGTAGTTTATTCTCATTGTAAAATGCTTAAACAAAACAGAATATTGTGGAGAAAAAATGAGTGCCATCTTCAACCCCAGTTAGCCTTCATTTTTCTGCAAGAGGGTCTTATAGTTAAAAGGTTATTCTTCCAGGCTCTGGAATTTCTTAATAATGTTCACATAGGTTAAACTTTGCCCTGCTCTTTTTTCTAAGAAGGAAACATTTCTTTTATTTATTTATTTGTTTAATTTTTTTTTTGAGTCAGAGTCTCATTTTGTCACCCAGGCTGGAGTACAGTGGCATGCTCACAGCCACTGCAGCCTCAACCTGCTGGTCTCAGGCGATCCTTCCGCCTTAACCTTCCAAGCAGCTGGAACTACAGGTGAATGCCATCACACCCGGCTAATTTTCTTGACTTATTGTAGAGACGTGGTCTTGCCAAGTTGCCAAGGCTGATCTTGAACCCCTGAACTCAGGCAGTCCTTTTGCTTCCACCTCTCAAAGTGCTGGGATTACAGGCGAGGCATGTACCACCTCGCCCGGCTAGAAGGAAACATTTCTGTTGCATTTAAAATAGCTGCTATTCCATGTTCACTATCTGGGGAATGGGCCACCTGAAACTAAATTTTTTTTTAGAAAGAAAGAGCTGGGCATGGTGGCTCAAGTCTGTAATCCCAGCAATTCAGGAGGCCGAGGAGAGAAGATTGCCAAAGCCCAGGGGTTCAAGACCAGCCTGGGCAACTTAGTGAGACCTCATCTCTACAATAAATAAAAATATAAGCCAGGCATGGTAGCGCATGCCTGTAGTTCCAGCTACTTGGAAGGCTGAGGTGGAAAGGATAGCCTGAGTCCAGAAGGTCAAAACTGCGGTGGTTGTGAGTGTGCCACTGCACTCCAGGCTGGGCGCCAGTGTGAGACTCCAACTCAAAAAAAAAAAAAGAAAAGAAAGAAAGAATCTTTTCTTTTTACCTGAGAGATAAACTTCATTTTATGTTTTAATTTCTTTATTGTTATTATTATTTTTTTATTGAAAATCATAATTATACATTTATGGGGTTCAGTGTGATGTTATGATATTTTACAATGAAAAACAAGCTAATTAACAGAATTAAAAAGAGAATTTTAAATCCTCAAAAAAAGAGAAAATAATTACTATCCCTTATTTTTATAGTATGTTTAGTTTTTAATTTTTCAATTAGTATTTTAATTAGATTATCACTTTAGAATTTAAAATTCAAGTTCAGATGTGTATCAGAGTCTCAGCAGAAAAAGGATGGTACTTTCAAAGGGGTGATGGAGAGAGTTTGACCAAGGGTATATGTTCATAGTCGGGTAAGAAGGGTAAGGGAGTCAGTCAGGGATGGGGAAGGAAAAAGAGGAGAAAGGAGCAGTTACTGGAACTACTGAGAAATGAAGTTATGGGAGAGGAACAACCCGTAGGAGCTGTGGCCTTTGGAGCCCCTGCCAAGCCACGTCCCAGCAGGAAAGAACTGGGGAAGAAATACCCCACCTCTGTCTTCTCCAGCCCTCCAGGCTCCTACCCTCACCTTCTGTTGGCCAAGCCCAACCAGGACAGAGAACAAGAGAGTGCTGAGTAAATCTGCAGAGAACAATGAAGACCATCTAGCCTAAAATACATCCACAAGTCTTTATTTATCTCAAGCTGTAAGGTCTTGTTCACACCATTCCTACTTGTTTCCCTGTCGCATTGCAGGCAGTTGCCCTTCTGGAAGAATTCCGAGGCATAGACCGAGATGTGGAAGGATCTGCCAAGCAATGGAGGAAGTGGGTAGAATCTGAATGTCCAGAAAAAGAAAAGTTACCACAAGAATGGAAGAAGAAAAGTTTAATACAAAAACTTATTATTTTGAGAGCAATGCGCCCTGACAGAATGACGTATGCTCTCAGGTAGGGCAGTCAACATTTTTGGAAATGCAAAGTAAACATAGAGGAAGCTTAACCTGAGGGGTTAGGCGTATATGATGGAGGTGTTCACCGTGCATATTGATGGGCAGTGATTCTGCTGAGATTTTGATATTATAATCACCGTGACAGTTAAAATTTGCTAAATACTGAACACTGTACTAGGCAGACTCAGCATCTTCTTGCTGAAAAGTTGAATTCCAAAATCTGTAGGGGAGAGAGGGAGCTGCTGGCAATATTCTTGGAAGAGAGATGGGTGTCAGCACAGTTCAGAGGCCAGGAATATGCATTATCCAAGCATAATTTCCACAGTCTTTCATTCAGTTGTGGCATTTTGGCTCCGAAGATTTTGCATGTCAAACAAAAATGAATTCCTTTCATGGAGGCACTCATAATCCTATAACTTTACAGCCAACGCAATTTAAAAACAGAAACGCTGCTCAAGTGTCCTTTCTCTTTGCCCTCTTGGCTTCCAAATGGAAATTTGCTGCTTAATTCGCACTGGTCTTATTCTAATTTGAATTCACCAACCAAAGGGTTCTCAACTTCCTTTCCTTTTGTGCCACTTCTTCAGTAATATTCATGGGCCTTAGTTATTTTCCTTTGCTTTGTCTAGTTCAGCCAATTTTCCCTTTGCAGAAGCCTCTGCCGAACCCTACTTTACAAGTTAATTCTGCTTAGTCGTACTTACTTTCTGCTACATCTGATGCCACTGGAAAATAATCCCTGCTTAATTGAGCTTCCTTGTGTTAGAAACACCCCGAAAAGCATTTGTATATTCATGAGAAGCCCAGCAGGCTGGAAAATTGCACTGTGGCAAATCTAATGAACTGTTAATAAGTAATGGGGGAATCTGGCAGGGGATTTGGGGGATAAAAAGCCATAAGCAAGCAGCTGATGGTACTCAGAGGGGGGTCTCAGTAGCCCCCCCAAAATGGAATGTAGGCTTCTGATTTTCAGAGGTTCTCAAGAAGAGAGGAATTTCATTGATATACCTGCTTCATGCGCCTAGTTGGATTCATATTGTCATTCTAACAAGACATCCCATGAAACAAGAAACCTGGTTGCTTCTCTTCTGTGCCTGTGGTTTAAGCTCATCCAGATGGTGACACTTTTCAAGGTCAAAACCACTAATCATGTTTTTTGTATTCTTATTTTTATAGAAATTTCGTGGAGGAAAAACTGGGTGCAAAGTATGTGGAGAGGACCAGACTGGATTTAGCTAAAGCGTTTGAAGAAAGCAGCCCAGCCACCCCAGTATTCTTCATCCTGTCTCCAGGGGTGGATGCCCTCAAGGACCTAGAGATTCTTGGTGAGTGACCAGGAGGCTTGTTGACCTGCCCTCCCCCTCCCTCTCTCCATCCCTCCCTCCTTCTCACCCACCACCCACCTGCCCTTCCTTTCAGTTCACAGTCATCTTAGTTCCTTTTTTTTTTTCATTTGTTGGAGATTGGGTATATGGAAAATGTAAGGCTAATAGCACTGTAGTCTGAGGAACTGTTCAAATGGAACATTCCTCTGGATGGCATAATGTAAATGTCTTTTGTACTGTTTTCCACCTTCTGACTATATGAGGGCCAGGGGGCAATTTTCTCCATGCTCATGTAATCTTGTGCCCCCTGTGACTAAATAATGGTCATTAGAGCAAGTCTATTTGATTGTGCAAGGCACTGTCGCTTTGTGTTCTGGATTACGATTCCCCACGGCCTGCACCAAGAATACCAGGTTAATACAGCTGTGACCTGACTGTGCTCAATTTGAATGCAGCCTCACAAGGTGAGAGGCTTGTGCATTTACCCAGTGAACTGATCCGTTCAAAAGAATGATATGATATCTACCACATGTTGCTCCTTTTTATGAGGGAAAGGCTTTGCTACTCCTGCAAGAGTTTATACAGCTTCGTAACAATGCCTGCCGTCTATCAAAATGTCAAAAGCTTCATTTTAATAAACCAAAAGAGCTGGTATCCGTGGGCTTTTCCAATGCTTGCAAGGAGGCAGCTGTTGATTGAGTGCTCAAAATGCTGCTTGTGGATACAACAGAGGTTTAGTTTGGATTCTTCAGGAAAATGACCTTCAAGCTGACTGCAGTGACCACAAATGTACCCTGGACCACAAAATTCCAGACTCCTCCCACCCCTCCTTGATTTGGCGTTTTCTCTCACCATGGTGTATTCTCTCACAGGCAGAAGACTTGGGTTCACAATTGACTCTGGAAAGTTCCACAATGTGTCTTTAGGACAAGGTCAGGAGACAGTAGCAGAAGTGGCACTGGAGAAAGCTTCCATAGAAGGACACTGGGTCATACTCCAAGTAAGTATTAAGTTTCAGGGGAGACACTGGGCAGGAACACAGAGGATGGGCAGAGCAGAGCTTCCCTGCCCAACAGAATGATCCTTTAACAACACGGCAAGTGGTGATTTGCAGACTCCGAGCTGTTCTATCGGCATTCATGGCACCTCCAAAAACCGTGAGGGGCTGTGAGCACAGCTATGGCTGTCATCTTTTGAGAGACTGTTTAGCCATTGTACTTTAAAATGTAAAATGTTGGGCATAGTGGCTCAACACTTTGGAAGCCAAGGCAAGAGGATTGCTTGAGTCCAGGAGTTCGAGACCAGCCAGGGCAACATAGCAAGACCTCATCTCTACAAAAAAATTTAAAAAATCATCCGGGTGTGGGAGTACACACCTGTAGTCCCAGCTACTTGGGAGGCTGAGCCAAAAGGATCACCTGGGCCCAAAAGGTCAAGGCTATAGTGAGCTGTGATCGTGCCACTGCACTCCAGTCTGGATGACAGAGTAAGATCCCGACTCTAAAAAAAGAAAAAATGTTAGGAGGAGCCCCACCATTCTCCTGACTTACAGATATCTTGAACACTCAGTAGTGTTTGAGGACAAACAGGCATGAGGACAAACGTGCTCCGTGTAGGCCGCCAACAGTGTTACAGTATCTGGGTAGCATGTTGCCTTCAAGTTGATGGAGCTCTTTTTACTGTATATTATGTACTTCCACTCTGACTTTGCCCCTGATTAGTGTGTAACATTTCCTTTGTTTTTGAATTAAGGGATGGATTAGATAACCCCCCTATTCCATCCCAGGCTAACATTATAGGGTCTATGAGTCTATAACCCAGTGTCCTCCAGGGTGGCCCCATGGCTGGGGATTCTAGGAACCAGTGGAGCACAGGCCAGCATTAGGGGCACCTGATAGACATGCTGACCCCTTCCAAAGCAAGCCCCAGGGCAGGCCAGTAGGTCTGAGAATGGCCATTTAGTACCAGCTCCGACATCCCAAATGTTCTCCTCAGTGGGCAGATCCCAGGCTATCTTATCTCTGATCATTACAAGGCCAAGGGGGTAGGTAGTATCATTCTCCACAGGAAGGTGAGAAAAGCAAGCCTTGGAGTGGTCTGGAAAGCCTCAAGGCTACAAGGCTGGTAGGTGGCAGAGCTGGGACTTGAATCTAGGTAGCACACGATGTTCTTAGAAACAGCCAACCTCATGTAATAGAGGATATAACATTGGTCTCCCTTAGTGTCTCCAGTATTCAGGTTTGATGCTTTTGGCATTTCTGCTTGAAATAAAACTAGATTCATAAAACAGTTGCCCAGAGTCCAAACAGGTTATATCTACAAAAACATAGCCTTCTGGGATAGCAATAGCCACTGCTTAGATGAGGCCTTAATAGAAACCTTTGTAAGGGGATTTGAAGTAGTGCATCCCCTAAGGAATATGGCAGGTGACAGTGGAAGGTTTGTTTTTTCAGAGACAACAGTGGATGCTCAGACAGTTTGGTAGATGCTAGGATTGTTCATAAAGAAAAGATTTCTTTGAGCCCAGTGGCTTAGACTGCAGAAAACACTAGGAGGGATATAGTCATCCTCAAAAGACATATTCAAAATACAATATTTGCTGTTTTTTTAATCTATGCTAATCTACCAGTTATCCCTAAAAGTGCAAGTTTTCCCATTTTAAAAAAAAAACCCCAAAGACCTTATTTTGGATATTGGTTTCAGACTGTTAATTTTTGTTCTTCATGGTAAGTGGTAACTTAGAATGTAACTGTTTAAACCTCTTCACTCCCCATCCTTCTATCCACACAGAGTAACTGGAGAAAAGAGATTAGCCAGGTTTTTGGCTGTCCCACTTTTTAGAGGTTGTTGGTATTCCTTTGATCTGTGGTTAAAACAGAAGAGCTTTGAAGAAGACCGACATAATGGAAACTTGTTCTATTGTTTGTAATGTGCATTAAATTATATCAGCATGAACATGTGATATGTATAACATGTTAATTAGTTCTTACCCAAATTCTAGTATGATCAATTATTATGATCGGATATAGCCCTCTAGGGATGTTTAGTAAGTATGTTATCAGAAGCCAACAGCCCAGAGAAAATTATTACAAAGCTAGCAAGCAAGCAACTATCTTTATCTCATATGCACACGAGAAGTTTTGTGAATTAACTTAACAGACATTAACAGTCAATTTTCGTGGGCAAAATGGATGGTTTTCAAGACATGTAGATTGCCCAAAAATGTTGCACAGATGTTGCTGTCCTTGGAGACAAATAGATAGAAGAACCTAGCCAGTCCCAAAGCCAGGACTCTCTAGAATGGTTGCCAGGCCAGGACTCCACAGTGTACCTGTGTTCCATAATGGCTCACTTAGAAGTTTTTCTGTCCCCTGACTCCAAAGTCACTGCTTGGAATATTTTTACATTTGTTTCAAGTAAACTTTTTAAGTCAGGAACCGCTATAGTCCATGAGACCAAGAATGAAGACATAAATGAGCTTACACAACAGGTTTTGTGGTTGTTTTATTATTTATTTTTAGGAGTGGAACTCTTTATAATCTAGGAGAAAGCTGGTAGGGGAGGAAACTTAGAGTTCTTACCTACTAGTTTGCTAGGGCTGCCATACCTAAGTATCACAGAGTTAGGGGTCACTTAGGTGGCCTCATCAACAGAAATTTAATTTCACAGTTCTCGGAGGCTGGAAGTCTTAGATCAAAGTGTCAGCATGGTTGGTTTCTTCTGAGGCTTCTTTCCATGTCTTGTAAGATGGCTGACATCTACGAGTGTCTTCACACGGTTTTTCTTCTGTTTCGTGTCCTAATCTTTCTTATAAGGACGTCAATCATATAGGTTTAAGGCCTTTTGTAATGACCACAGGTAGCCTTAATTACCTCTCTAAAGATCCTGTCTCCAAATATGGTTACATTGTGAGGTACTGGGGATTAGTACTTCAACATATGAATTTGGGGGGGGCAACACAATTGGTGACTACTAACAATGTTCTTTATTTGCCAAGAGAATAAAACCCTACTAATATGAACAACTGAATTGACATAGGTCTTTTTGCAAAAGAAATTTTAAAGAAGGATAACTATATTGCTATTCCCTTCCTTGTTTGCCTTTGTTCTCTGTATTTTTGTAACTGTTATATAATCTTAAATGGATTTCTTTGTTGGAAATAAAATTGTATATCTTTGGTTGTGATGTTTCAATTATTATATTAAGAACTTCTCCTAAGCCAGAGAACTGAGAAATGTAAGGAATGGCCTTTCTACCTCCCTCCCAGCACCAACTACCAAGCTGTATGCTGTGGGTGTTTAGTATCAGAGGAGCAAACTTGTGAATCACAACTGAGAAGCAAAGAATGATGCTGGGGGTGGAATTTGTTTTGTTGTCATTGTTGTTGTTGTTTTGAGTGAGAGTCTCACTCTGTTGCCCATGCTGGAGTGCAGTGACACACTACTCATGGCCATCGCAACCTCAACCTGCTGGACTCAGGTGATCCTTCCACCTCAGCCTTCCAAGTAGCTGGAACCACAGGTGCACACCACCATGCCCAGCTGCTTTTTTGATTTATTGTAGAGACGAGGTCTCGCCATGTTGCTCAGGCTGGTCTCAAACCCCTGAGCTCAGGTAATCCTCTCACCTCCGCCTCCCAAAGTGCTGGGATTGCAGGTGTAAGCCACCGCACCTGTCTGGCATTTATTTTTTTCCTCATTTCTGGCAGCTCTAGAATTTAAAAAGACTCATATGTTAAGAATACACAGAGCATCTTAACAAGGAGGGGTTGCTTGCTTTTCCAGCTGGTCCCTCTTTCCTTATGGCCTATTGAGTTCACCTGCTCATGTATAGGAGTCTAGAGGAAGTTTTCATCAGAGACAGTGAAGGGGGTGATCGGGTACATGTCTGGCTTTTCATTTCTACACTTTATCAAACGAGCCCATCTATGTCTCAGTAATTGGGGCTGAACTGTAACAAAGAAAAGTATTGGACAACTCCATCTCAGAAGTGACTGGTGGGTATTCCAAGTACGTATGTGTACTGAGTAGAGATTTGGGTTACAAAGACAGTCTCGGTGATTTGGAACATTTAATGCATGCAACGTTCTGTTTCCTTTTGGCTTTTTTTCCTTCATTTTTTCTGACCTGATAATAAAGGAAACTTTAAATCATAGTTCTCTGAGTTTCCAAGACATTTATGTATAGGAAAATGTTATAATCTTATCATTCAAGTAATATCCTTCAATTTCACAGGGATTATAAACCATTACTATCTTTCAGAATGTCCATTTGGTAGCCAAGTGGCTAGGAACCTTGGAGAAACTCCTTGAAAGATTCAGTCGAAGAAGCCACAGAGATTACAGGGTTTTCATGAGTGCTGAGTCTGCTCCTACACCAAGTGAGCACATCATCCCTCAAGGACTACTGGAAAATTCTATTAAGATCACTAATGAACCCCCTACTGGGATGCTGGCCAATTTGCATGCTGCCCTCTACAACTTTGATCAGGTGAGAAAGCAGAAGCAGCCTGTCTGACAATGAAGTCAGAGTCTTCTCACAAAACTATGGGGACCACTTAGGCATGTCATTTAGAGGGGCAAAGCAAAATTTCGATGTTCATGCACGTGCACGTGTGTGTATGTGTGTGGTGTATGTGTGTGCGTTTTAATTTCTTGAAAGAATTGCCCCGTCACTACCTATTCTTTTTATTTGTTTGTTTGTGTGTTTTTTGAGTCAGAGTCTCTTACTTTGTTGCCCAGGTTGGAGTGCAGTGACACATTCACGGCTCACTGCAACCTCAACCTCCTAGGCTCAGAAGAACCTTCCACCCCAGCCTCCTGAGTAGCTGGGACTACAGGTGGGTGCCACCACACTTGGCTAATCTTTTGACTTTTTATAGTGACAAGGTCTTGCTATGTTGCTCAGGCTGGTCTCAAACTCCTGGACTCAAGTAATCCTATCATCTCAGTCTCCCAAAGTGCTAGAGTACAGGTATAAACCAGCATGCCTGGCACCTATTCTAGTATATTTAGGTTTCACCCTAAAACTAAGAAAACTACAGCCTGGGTGTGGTGGCTTAAGCCTGTAATCCCTGCAATTTGGGAGCCCGAGGTGAATGGACTGCATGAGCCCACAGGTTCGAGAACAGCCTGGTCAACTTGGCGAGACCTCATCTCTACAGTAAAATCAAAATATTGGCCTGACATGGTAGCACGTGCCTGTAGTTCCAGCTACTTGGAAGGCTGATGCAAAAGGATCACCTGAGCCCAGCAGGTCGAGGCTGGGGTGGCCGTGAGTGTACCACTGCACTCCAGCCTGGATGATGGAGTGAGACTCTAACTCAAAAAAGAAGGAAAGAAAACTACAGCTACTGGGTAAGGGGAACAAACTAGGTAATTTTTCAAGAAACCTGCTTCTTGAAGATAAATGTGGCAGACTAGTATCTCTTACCACAGAAAGAGGAGAAGCTATGGTTATTCTTATTGATGATGACAATAATGACATAAGAAAAGTTTCAATATCATGTTTTAGATCTGGTTTCGATATTACTACATTTAAAGTCACATTTTTCAGGCTATATCTATGATACCTTATTTATGTTTTCTTGTCTTTCTAAAATTAAACAGATTAATACATTTATAAATGAATTATGGTACTGAATTATGGTACTGATGATTCTCTTTACCAAATTGTCATATCTATCTGTATAATCTGGTCTTTCAGTTTCCTTTGTTGCTATTGCTCCAAGATCTCATTCCTTTCTCTAATTTCTTAGAAATCCTTGGTAACTAGCACTTTATTAGGAGAATACAGTGAGCCCTAAAGAGGAACTATGTATAATTTGGTAATAAATATTCAGCTCCCTGTCTAAATTATCATTTTCTATGAAGCATGCCAGCATGCTTAACTTCACCTTGTGGGTCAATACCCAAACCAACATTATGAGGGAATTATAATAATAGGCTACCAAAGAATATCATGTTGAAGAATACAGTTAATTACTTAATTAAATAATTGAGTAGTCTGTAGCCCGTATATACACAGAAGACTGTGTAAATAGTAGGCACTCAATCTTTTTGAATCTACTAAATATTTGCAGTGTTCCTTTTTGATGTATGGCAGACATATGTTTGGTTTTTAATCATCTCTTAATTTATAATTTCTGGCTGGGTACAGTGACTCTCGCCTATAATCTCAGCACTTTGGGAGGCCAAGGTAAAAGGGTTGCCTGAGCCCACAGGTTCGAGACCCACCTGGGCAACTTGGCGAGACCTCCTCTCCACAATAAAGCAAAAAATTAGCCAGGTGTGGTGGTACACACCTATAGTTCCAGCTACTTGGAAGGCTGAGGTGGAAGGATCACCTGAGCTCAGTAGGGGGAGGCTGTGGTGGCCATGAGCATGCCACTGCACTCCAGCCTGGGCAACAATGAGACTCCGCAAAAAAAAAAAATTTTTTTTATTATAATATCTAGGCATTGATGACATTTTCAAGCTCTCCCAAAATACAAAAGGGAAATTTGATATATTTAAATAGGATACATCTGCCCTTTAAGACAGTTGTCTTTCTTCATGAAAAGTGAGCATTCTGTGAACAAATCTGCTTCAACCCAACTATCCTTCAGCTTTTTTTGGTAAGGACTTCTTTGACAATTTCATAAAACTATAGACACTCTCCCAAGGGAAATGCATTCGAACATAATTTGCATATAATGATAAGATTCACGACTCTGCCCAGAGTGTATGCATGAACTCCCTAGTAAAGTACACCTGTTCTAGTCTATTCATGAAAGTACCACTTTTGGGGGGTCTAGCTGTGTCACCCAGGCTGGAGTACAGTGGCTGAATCATGGCTGACTCCAGCCTTGACGTCCTAGACTTAAGTGATCCTCTCACCTCAGCCTCCTGAGTAACTGGGACTATTTATTTAGCCAGGCACACACAATACCATACCTGGCTTTTTTTTTTTTTTTTTTTTTTTTTTTTTTGGTAGAGTCTCACTATGTTGTCTAAGATAGTTTTGAGCTCTTAGGCTTAAACAATTCTCCAGCCTCAGCCTCCCAAAGTGCTGGGATTACAGGTATGAGCTACTGCACCTGGCTAGTATCAGTTCTTTTGACTGTTACCCAGAAAGCCACTTTTATTATTAAGAGGTTACATTTTTTTTAAAAGATTTTTTTTTTTTTTTTTTGAGTTGGAGTCTCACTTTGTCGCCCAGGCTGGAGTGCAGCGGCACACTCACAGCCACCCCAGCATCATCCTGCTGGGCTCTGGAGATTCTTTTGCCTCTGCCTTCCAAGTAGCCAGAACCACAGGTGTGCACTATCATGCCTGGCTAGTTTTTTATTTATTGTAGAGACGCGGTCTCGCCAAGTTGCCCAGGTTGGTCTCGAACCCATGGGCTCAGGCAATCCACTTGCCTCAGCCTCCCAAAGTGCTTGAATTACAGCCTGGGCCACTGAGCGCGGCCTGAAAAGATTTTTTAAGAACTTCAAGGGAGAATAGTTCTTATTTAGTGAAAAGGATTATCTGAAATATTAAGACTAAACTTGGTAATAACTAGCAAAGATAACCAAAGTGATTCACTAAACAAACTTCTCATCAACCTATTTTGGTTCAAACCAACCAAATAAAAACCCTGAAGAAAAGCAAAAATATTAAAGTCTCAAGAATGCTGTCATTATGTTAGAAAACAAAATACAGTTTTTAATCAGATTATGTAACTCATAGGTATTAACCTGTGCTCCCTGCCAATCTGTGAATTAGGTTTCCAGCTACTTTTAAAAGTTCTTATAAAATAGCAGGGACTCTAGCAAGGCATGAAAGTATGTCTACCTCTTGAGAATTCTACAGATAGACCGTCCAAAGTTTATACCTGTTATCACAAAGTTGTCATCAACCTGGCTCTTGACAGTTTACCACTACATCCTTTCTAGGCTGGGCTCTTCATGGTCCCAGGTGGCTGCAGGAGGTGTGGCCCCCAAAACCGTGTTTCTCACAGTAGGACATAAGAAGAAACAAAGATGATGGCAAAGGGAATGTGTTTGCTTTGTTTTTCAGGTGCTTTCTTACAAATTAACACACAATAATGTCTCCTTTCATCTAATTAGCCAAACTTAGTCATATTGGATTACCAAACTGCAAGAGAGTCTGCGAAAAGTCAATGTAAAGCAGCCATTTGCCCAGCTAAAAATCAGCAATTAGCAGTCTCTGTCACAGATGTCCTCCTTTCCCAAATCTCCTGGTAGCATCCTGAGCATTCTGTGTTGCTGCCGTGGCCTGACCTTGCTAAAATCAATGACATGGACGGAGAGTGATGAGCACTATCTTCCTGTTACCTACCTGGGTTAGTCAAATGAGTCCCATTTGTTCCTGGTGCTGAGGTACCCCTTTTAGCTGAGTAAGGCACTTGAGAAGTTTCAAATCAAATTAAATCTTTTTTTTTTTTAAGAGACATAGTCACCTACACTAGAGTGCAATGGTGCGATTATAGCTCAATACAGCCTCAAACTCCTGGGCTTAAACAATCCTCCCACCTCAGCCTTCTGAGTAGCTAGGACTCACAGGGGCATGCTACCACACCTGGCTAAAATTTAAATCTATATTTTAACCATACCCCTCAAATTAGAATTTACCTGTAAACTCTAGCATATGTATTCAAAATTAAGTTTGTTTAAAATCAGTGCTTTATTCTCCTGTGCATTCCAAAATATTTCTATAAACCTAATCATTAAGTGATCAATATATAAAGAACAGTACTTTGTAGGATGCCATCAGTCTATACCTTTTACAGCTCAATAGCATATGCCTCATGAAGAAGATGTCATAAAGAAGAATTGTTTTGGCTCCTTTCGTACCCAGATAACCATATTTTTTAAGAATGAAAATACAGATTTCCTTTTCTGTAAAATTTGCAGGCAGAAACTAATAATTGATCATTGTACATGTAAAGTTGGTGACTGTGTGCATATAGCACTATTATGTGTGTGCAGATGCCTGTTCTCTGTTCACAATGCTCTTTGTATCTTTTTAACATTAATTTGCCTATCACTTGGTTTGCAAAAACACAACTGGCTTGAAATGTAGAATCATACTTTTTTTTAGGAAAGCCTGATTCATATTTAATTCCTACGTTGTTTATATTCTCAGAACATAATGAAATGGGCACTGACTTGTGGGTTCTTTTTTGGAGGTTTTTTTTTTTTTGCACTGAGGATAGAGCCAAGTCAGTTATATAAAATACAGGCTGAATTAATGTACTTAGTTATTGTAGTACCTTGGGTTTAATGAGAACTATCTGAATTCAAAAGCTAGCTCATAACTTCAAAGTGGAATTTTGATACTTATATTGGTCCTCCTAGAAATTCCTTACATTTAAAGTCATATATATTTTTATATCTTTTAAGGTTAATTACAGTTATATGATTTCTCTTTTTTTCTTTGCAAGCTTGCCTTTTATTTGATGTTTAGTTGTAGAAAAGTTATTTTTAATGACTATTTAATTTCAAACCCCATAAATTACCTAAAAATAACCCAGTGAGTTAGTTGGGTCTGTACTCTGTGCAGCCTGACTGACTCTAGGTCTATGTTTGGTGGTAGCTCTGGATTCTGCTGAAAGCACTACAGGAAGAAACTATAAAGCTCTTCTGGTCCTGGTCCACAGAGAGCCAACTGGTATCAGTTTAGTACCAGAAGTCCCCCAGAAGACCAGATCTGAACTCCTACTCCCAAAGGTCCTAAATATGCTTTGTATATGACCCAAGTTGTCAAACCATTTTGATGTAGACTGACTGTACTTTTCATGTTTTATTTTAATTTTTTTTTTATTTTTGAGTCAGTGCCTTTGGATGGTCTATCTGTCACCCAGGCTGGAATGCAGTGGCATGCTTATGGCTACTGCAGCCTTGACCTGCTGGGCTCAGGCAATCCTTCTGCCTTAGCCTCCGAGTATCTGGAACCACAGGTGTGCGCCATCACGCCTGGCTAATTTTTTGATTTATTGTAGAGATGCGGTCTCGCCAATTTGCCCTGACTGGTCCTGTGTCCCTGGGCTCAGGCAGTTCTCTTGCCTTGACCTCCCAAAGTCCCGGGATTACAGGCATGTGCCACCTCACCCAACTAGTTTTCCCATTTTAAAGGACCAGGCAGGAAGGTGCAGATTCTGACCTCATCTTGCCCTACTACACAACACCAGCCGAAGAGCAGTACTCAGCTTCTTCTTTTTTGCCTCATAGAACTGGCAACCTGAGGATGGATACAGTATTACCTTTAACTCACAGATTGGACACCTGTTTTTTTCCTTTTAATGTTATGGCTGTTGATGCCATAACCATCTTGGGACAGCATTCCAAGATTCACCTTCCCCCTCTGCATTCTTTTTTTTTTTTCAAGGGATGAGGTCTCACTCTCTTGCCCAGGCTGATCTCGAACTTGTGGGCTCAGGTAATCCTCCTGCCCCAGCCTCCCAAAGTGCTGGGATTACAGTTGTGAGCCACCGTGCTCAGCCCCCTCTGCATTCTCAAAAAAAGATCTCACAGGTCTAGTCTCAGGGCACATTTTCCAATTTTCCATATGTCATCTAGTCATCCCCACAATAAATTTTACTTTTAGTTCATTGGAAGGAAACCACGTGTCATTGGACTGTATTAGTCAAGGTATAGGCTACAGGCTAAGCTCCATAAGAAAGAGGATCAATGTACATTTTGGGGGGACCGTTACACTAAAAGCCTAGGCTTCATCACTAAGCAATATATCCACATGAAAAATCTACAATTGCACCTCTTAAATTTGTTCAATTTTTTAAAAAGCGAATCAAAACTATAGTGATTCCAACAAGATTGGAGTTTGTTTCTCTCCCATGTACTGGGTAGCTAGCTCTGTTCCCTGAGATTATTCACACACCCTCTACCATACCTAACTCGAGGTCTCCAGGGTCATTCAGTCATCCTCATTTCTAGTCCACAGAAGAATAAAGAGAGTAACAACCAGGGCAAGCAATTTCCTTTTAAGCAAATGACATAGAGTTATATCCATCACTTCTGCTCCAACTATGTTGGTGAAAACTTGGTCATATGCACACCTGGCCTCAAGGGAGGCTGGGAAACAAGCTTTCAAAGTGTGGTCATGTGCCCAGATGATCTCTATGACTGTGGTACCAGGGAAGAATGGATAGCTGTGGTTAATTAGCATTCTGCCCCAGTGATAAAACTGACGATGACTGTATGATCCAGATCTTATAAGAAAAATTTTACAGGGGAAAATGATGTCAAACAGTTGACTAATGTGGTTAAAATAAATTTTCTCACTTTCTTTTTTAAATTTTTATTTATTTATTTATTTATTTATTTATGAGTTGGAGTCTCACTCTGTCGCCCAGACTGGAGTGCAGTGGCCGCTCCCGGCCACCGCAGCCTTGACCTGCTGGGCTCCGGCGATCCTTCCGCCTCAGCCTGTCAAGTAGTCGGAATTACAGGCATGTGTTACCACGCTCGGCTGATTTTTGATTTATTGTAGAGATGAGGTCTCGCTGCCCAGGCGGGTCTCGAACCCGCGGGCTCAGGCAATCCACTCACCTCAGCCTCCCAAAGGCGCAGGATTACAGGCTGAGCCACCGAGCCCGGCTAATTTTCCCACTTTCTAGTGAACTTGGAAGCATTCGGAAGAATAACTGAGGCAAAATAAACAGATTCTTCTTTAATCAGCAGGCTGGCAAATGCCAAGTAGTCTCCTATTATGCTCTCATAGGCTAGGTAGCCATGCTTAAAACTATGTTATGTCGGTCAGGCACAGTAGCTCATGCCTGTCATCCTGGCACTTTGAGAGGCTGAGGTGAGAGGATTGCCTGAACTCAGGGATTCGAGATCAGCCTGAGCAACATGGCGAGACCGCATCTCTACAATAAATCAAAAAATTAGCCGGGCATGATGGTGCATGCCTATGGTTCCAGCTATTGTAAGACTGAGATGGAAGGATCACTTGAGCCCAACAGGTCGAGACTGCAGTGGCCTTGAATGTGCTACTGCACTCCAGCCTAGGTGACAGAGTGAGACTCCGACTAAAAAAAAGAAAAAGAAAAGAAAATCTACATTATCTCTGTAGCATACCTCCCTCAAAGTCCTTTACACAATGATTGAACACTCAAGCCCTCACTCTTGGAAACCATACAGATGGATAATCAAGCATCTCTTTTCTTTTCTCACAGGATACACTTGAAATGTGCTCCAAGGAGCAGGAATTTAAAAGCATCCTCTTTTCTCTGTGCTACTTCCATGCCTGTGTTGCCGGGAGACTGAGGTTCGGCCCCCAGGGCTGGAGCCGCAGCTACCCTTTCAACCCAGGAGACCTCACTATTTGTGCCAACGTCCTCTACAACTACTTGGAGGCAAACCCTAATGTAAGCGCTACCGGTCAGATAACCTCTTCTAAGGAGTTTACTAAATCCATCAGTCCTTGGGTGCCATCCAAACAGACCATAATTTCTCTTTTGGAGCTCTTACGGAAATAACTGACACTATCTATGCATCTTCTGCCAAGTGTGAAAATAAACCAGATCAAAGGTTTTCCAGCAGCGGATGTGCAAACTTCATAAGATAGGTCAAACCAGTTCTACATCAGCAGCTTAGTGCAAAAGAAAGAAAAAATGTCCTTCATTATGTTAACAAAAACAGTGGTTTACATGTGAATATATGCCAGATTCATTAGGCAGGTAATGAAGCATTTGCACAAATGTAATTACATACAGCAATTCTGACAGTTCATAACACTGCATTAATAATCACTACAATTAGTTCTGATGATGGAAGCAATTTACAGCACGTCACATGTATAAATAATGGTGCATTTCCTGCATATGTCATTATTATGTATTAAGGATGCCACCTTGTTGTGACTTTCTCAGTAATGTTCCCCTTGATTTGAAGTTAAAGGTAGATGAATGGTTTTGTTTCGCAGCTAAAATGTGTTCTACAGATGGGAATGGGAATGCTTCATCAAGAACATTTGTGTAAACTCTTACAAACCCAATGATTGGATTTCGAAAGGGAAGAGGCATTCATTCCTAAGCTTTGCTGGCGTAATACTCACAAAGGGGAACTTTTTTCATTAAGTTACATCTGTTCAAATTGGGGTATGGGAAGACCAGCCAGGTGTGGTTTTCTGGGCCATACTTTCTGTAAAGGGCTTTTAAAATCACCGATTCATGATGGAAATGGCTGTTTTATGTCCTTTCAGTAACTACTGTTACCATTTTGTGGTCAATGTTTTTTCAAGCTTCAGTGGTGATCTGTGAGAATATGTACACTTGATACATAGCATGAGTGTGTTCTTCCAAGGAACAAATTTTGAATAAGTCGTATCCAAAATAAATAGCTTCATACAGGAAAATAAACTTTAATTCAGTGAATACCACAGTGCTGGATACTTAAAACCTTAAATAAGACTTGGCTCTTATTCTCAAGGTGTTTGTAATCTAGGTGAAAGGAAGACATGATGAATAAACATGTAAAATGTATTTATAAGACTTGCATTTAAAGTGTGTTTATAAAGCTCACTGTGTATGATAAGAGACAAAGCATGGGGTTAAGTCAGGACTGGTGCCAAACACACAAAGACCCTGAAAAACATGTCATTCAATGAAGGTATGAGAACCTCTCTCTTCACCCCCACAGAAGTATGGTAAAGGGAATTCACTACCCGACCCTGAAGGTCTATGCATAAGCAAAATGGTTCTACATCCTGAAAGACTTCAAAGAAGTCTTACCCATTCCCACTATCCATCTATAATCCCTTTTAGCACACTTTTTGTCCCAAGTCTAGGAAATATCTTTACACTGAAATATGCAATCGTTATACTTGCTCAAACAATAGAGAAGGAAAAAGAAGGGGTTTAATTGTTTGAAGATAGGATAGAAAAATAAGAAGAAAAACCAAATTCAAATGTTAAGATTGTCACTGAGGCAGTAAAAGAGCAACCTTCTATTGATAAATAAATAAATAAATAACTTTAAAATGGTATGTGATTATCAATTTTCCATATCATTTTTAAAATTTATGAAATCAATAGGCAATTCCATATACTTGGAGCATATTTTGACCATTCTAATAAATGATAATATTTTTGTGTTAATCTCAGCACATTTTGTTTAAACTGTTGCATATACAATTGATTTTTTTTTTTTTTTTGAGTTGGAGTCTCATTCTGTCACCCAGGCTGAAGTGCAATGGCATGCTCACACCCACCCCAGCATCGACCTGCTGGACTTAGGCGATCCTTCCACCTCAGCTTTCCAAGTAGCCAAAACTACAGGTGTGTGCTACCATGCCCTGCTAATTTTTTAATTTATTGTAGAGATAAGGTCTTGCTGAATTGCCCAAGCTGTTCTCGAACCCATGGGCTCAGGCAATTCTCTCACCTTGAACTTCTAAAGTGCTGGGATTACAGGCTTGAGCCACTGCGCCTGTCACAATTGATTATTATAGTAAATTCTGAGGTAGAAAAAGAAACGGACCATTTAATACTTATATTCATAACCGTCCCATGAAGCTGAGATGGGAATATTATCCTATTTCAGCTGAATCCTGTACATAATTAAGGTCGAAATGAAGGGGAGTTGACACTTGTGTTTATCCCCAGATCTCATATTCTGAGTCTTGATAACACCACTGGCCAATGGAGTGGTGCTATGTCCTGCTTCTTATCCCACTGGGCTTCAGGGATCAACACAGCATCAGGATCTTAACATACTCTCATTTCTCTCAGATGTCTTGATCTCAGTCATTTCTGCACACCACAGAGTTGTCAGGATTTGGGAATTAATATGTGCACATGGTCTGGATGTATACAATGCCCTTTTCAAAAAAGTATATGTAAGAAACAAACACCAGGGTTGGGGGAGAGAGAATCAACTACTGAAAGGAACAGATCCCTAGCTGATAAGATCTTATGAGAGATACATATTGAATACTGAAATGAATGGCAGGCATTAAGTAAATGTAATCAGAAAGATAAATGAAATTAAGTAGTCTGTTTCCCGTCCATTTTAGCTATATGGAAGGTGATCAGAGCAATGGTCAAGTGCAGGCTGCAGTCTGCCCGCCTTTCCCTCCATTTTTCACTCACATCAAACCAGCTTAGAAGAAAGACGTATTGGAGGTTCATTTATTCAAATTCAAATAAACTTGCAGCAAGTACATTGGCATAGTTGAAGCAATTTTACTTGTTCTGTTCTGTCACATCACATACCAAGCAAAGGCTATAATTATGTTTTTACTTGAACTGTTGGGAGGCCGTATACTGCCCCCGAGGGTATAAAGGTTCCTGTCTAGAAAGGCTTCATCACACACTGGCATGTTTTGCAAACCCTGAGGAAGCTAAAGGGTAGCAAAGAGAGACTTCAAACCCTGCTAAGCCAAATAGAGAGGAGATATAGTGATTTAAAAATATATATATATGGTACGGCCATTAGCTACAACCATTAGAACAGTCATTGAACCAGTCATGTCATAAACCATAAATCCTCATAGTTATCTGTAGCAAGGAGATTTGTTTGGACTTTTAGAAAGTGGTAGGATTCTAAATATACCTCAGAATCAAATTGTGTAGATGTTTCTGTCTTTTCCTGAGTCAGATAATGAAAACGGATGTAAATCAGATAATGAAAAACATGTAATACTTCAAACATCCCATGACCCAACATCCTCTCGCAATTTTGGGATGAGATTTTGAATGTATAAACTTTCTCTGCATAACATGTTCTAGGAATGATTCGGTTTCCTTTAAAGTCTGCATATGACCAAGTGCAGCAGGCCCATGCCTGTAATCCCAGTGTTTTGAGAGGCTGAGGTGGGAGGATTGTTCGGGGCCAGGAGTTCGAGAACAGTCTGAGCAATATAGTATACCCTGCCTCTACAAAATATTTTAAAAATTAGGCATGTTGGTGCGTGTCTGTAGTCCCACCTACTTGAGAAGCTGAGGTAGGGAGATCACTTGAGCCCAGGAATTTGAGGCTGAAGTGAGCTATGATTGCACCATGGCACCCCAGCCTGGGTGACAGAATAACATCCTGTCTCTGGAAGAAAAAAAAATGCCTACATAAAATGCTCAGCTTTACTTATTTATCACTGATTTAACTGAATCACTCTCTCTCTCTTTTCACTCTCACATGCACTGACTCACTGGATCCTTACAATAACCCTGTGAGGTAAGCAGGGCCAACACTGTTACTGCATTGCACAGACCAAGATGCTGAGATGTGGTGATTTGCCCTGGGCTACCAAGTTGGTTCGGGCAAGAGCTCTACTCAAAATATGTCTTTTGATCTCTATTCCATAGTTCATTTCGCTATAGTTTTTTGGTTTTGTTTTTTGTATTAGAAAATTAAAAATAATTCTCCCAAGAAATTCTCCACAGAAACGTAGACAATTTCTGAGCCCCTTTTAAATACTCCTATTGATGGGGACTGGGAGAGCATTGTGTTAGAGGGGCATGTCCCATGGGCTGGTCACTCTGAGGCAGATTTCCTTGGCCTGGAAGTGAACATTTGCTTGATTTTTGCTTGATTTTTTTTTCCTCCCCAAGGTCCCATGGGAAGATCTCCGTTATCTCTTTGGTGAGATCATGTATGGAGGTCACATCACAGACAACTGGGATCGTAGACTGTGTCGGGTGTATTTAGAAGAATTTATGAATCCATCTCTGGTAAGACATTTTATAACTAATTTCTCTGAGGAGAAAATTCTGGTAAGAATTTCATGAACTAATTTTACTACACAGATAATTCTTACATGTTATTGAGGATTCATGGCCTTTTGTGAGTATATTCTGGCCTGCCTTTATGGGAGTTTGGAAACTTGTTAGAAATGCAGACTCTTGGACCCCATCCCAGACCTACAGAATCAGAATTTGCATTTTAGTGAGACTTTCTCAGGTGATTTCTATGCACGTTAGAGAATGCACCAAGGTAAAACACTCTCGCGTGCACTGACTCACTGGATCCTTACAATAACCCTGTGAGGTATGCAGGGCCGACACTGTTACTGCATTGCACAGACCAAGATGCTGAGATGTGATGATTCGCCCCGGGCTACCAAGTTGGTTCGGGCAAGAGCTCTACTCAAAATATGTCTTTTGATCTCTATTCCATAGCTCATTTCACTATAGTTTTTTTGTTTTGTTTATTATTTTTGGCCTGTCATAGAAATCATGGAATATTCTAAGATTTGGTCACTAACAGTAATCTTACGAAGTATGTGCTCAAGAAAAAAGTAGTGAATGTGAGATGATGAATTTGTAAGGTAGTGAATTTGGTAATTAGCCTGATTTAATCATTCCACAATGTAAACATGTATCCAAACATCACACTGTGCTCCCTAAATGAAAACAATTATTACTTGTCCATTAAAAATAAAATTAATCTAACAAGAGAATAAAAAGAGATTATATCAAACAAGTGCAAGGTAAGAACCTCATTTGGGTCTTGTTTCAAAAAACTGTAAAAAATTGACATTTGTGACACAATAGGAAATGAGCATGAATATATCATGAAAGTATGGAATTCCTGTTAATATTACTTTATTATCACATGCAAAATATAGGGTGTGTGTGTGTGTGTGTGTGTGTGTGTGTGTGATTAGTGAGAAAGGATTTACTGAGAGGAAATAAAAGCTCTCACAGTGGGAGGGGACCCGAGAGGGTTGCCCAGTTTTTATTTTTAGAAAAAGAAATGATACAACAGCATGGATGAACCTGGAGGACGTTATGTTAAATGAAATGAGTCGGTACAGAAGGACAAATGCTGCATGATCTCACTTATATGCAGACTCAAAAAAGGTTGCTCTCTTAGAAGGAAAGAGTGGAACAGTGGTTTCCCAGGACTGGGGAGGGGAGGAACCAGGGAGGATGGCAGAGGATGGTCAATGGTACAAAGTTGCCATTAGAAAGGAAGAATAAGTCCTGTTGTCCTTTGTACAATAGGATAACTGTAGTCAACAGTATAACATTGTGTGTCTAAAAATAGTTAGAAGAAAGGATTTTGTATGTTCCCATCACAAAGAAATGATAAATATTTGAGGTGATAGACATGCTAATTACCCTGATTTGATCATTACACAATGCCTATATGTATCAACATAACACTCTGTATCCTGTAAATATGTACTTTATTATGTGTCAATTAAAAAGAAAAACGTGGTGACTTGAGCATCTACTTCTTCCTTCTGAGAGGAAGGGGCAGATTCTCTAAAAGGAGTTTAAAGAGACCAGCCATCCATTTCCCATTTCTCATCTGAGTAGCCCTGTGTCTGTGTAGAAATGGTTCGTGGCTGGGGCTGTGTTTTCTGGTAAAAGTACTATTTATGTTTCTTATATACCAGAAGCTGAGAGTGGCAGCCTACATTACACATCTCTAATGATGTACAGATTTGTGGCCATTTTCTAGTTATTTCTTGAAAGCTCAAAGCACCTTACATCATATCATTTCTATTTCCTGATGAGCAAAACACATGTTTAGAGCAGTGCCAAGTTTTGGGGATTTTTAATAGTCTGAACAATGTCTCATTTATAATTTCTCTGAAAACTTCATCTCAGAGAAGCATTACGTAGATCCCCTTCCTCAAGTCCATTTTATGAAGTAACGTAGCCTGGTGCAGTGGCTCACACCTGTAATCCTGGCTCTCTGGAAGGCCAAGGTGGGAGGATTGCTTGAGTCCAAGAGTTTGACATCAGCCCGGGCAACATAACAGGACCTTATCCTTACAAAAAAGTCAAAAAATTAGCTGGGTGTGGTGGCATGCACCTATAGTCCCAGCTACTGGGGAGGTTGAGGTGGGAGGATCGCTTGAGGCCAGGAGGTCAAGGCTGTGGTGATCCATGATCATTCCACTGCACACCAGCATGGATGACAGAGCAAAACCCTGACTCAATAAATAAATAAATAAACTAAATGATAATAAATGAGAAGATACAGTGTATTACAGTCCAATATAGGTAATTGGGGATAGATTAAGTTGGTACTACTTTCAATAATGTTGAACAATTTGGGGAAAGCACGATGCTATGTGCCCACTGTTTAGGCGTTTCTTTTGGCTGTGAGTCTCCTGGTCTCTTGTGAGTTCTAATGAGCCATGATTTCACATGTCAGAAAGAGGCTTCCAATTTAACATGATTGGAAGTCACTCCTCAGAAGAGGTCTGGGAGCAAGTAACCATGGAGATGGGAAAGATAAACAGTGCCAGGCATGCGACCTTTACAGAGGCTTATTTCTCTGAATGATGGTGGAGGGCAAGGGGCCAAGGGAGAAGCTCATGGGGGCGGTCCTTCCCCTGGCTCTGGTCTGTGGCAAAGGGGAGAGAGTTACTGTTGCTAAACGAAGCAGTCCATTAACCTTCATGAGGCTGAACTCCCATTCAAATAATTGTAAAGTAAATCTAGGTGATGAAACCTGAGGAACATTATTGGTGTGTGCAAGCCCTTTATTAATATAGGTATCTGACCTTCCTAGGGATCCAGTGAGGTTTTCAGTTGGAAATGCTTCATTTGCAAGCCCTTCTTCTCACTGGACAGCTACCTTCTCAACTCAGAAGAGGAGATTAAAGTACGCACTGACTTGGTGTCAGAGACTGCAAATCCCAGTTATTTTCTTCTCAAGAAAATGCTCCTTCTCATGCTGTTTATATTATGAGCGACATGATCTAACACTTGGGTATCTGCAGGATGTCTTTTTGTCACTTCTTACACTGGTTAATGTGTTGGGAAATGAATATCTTTAGTTGCCCTAGAACATGATCAAAAAGCAGCCCATTCATGGTGTGGCATTTAAAGTTCAGCTCCTCTTAGCAAAAAAAAAAAAATCAGAATGCTTTCAGTGATAGCCTGCTCTTAGGAGGAGAGATGAGTGTCGTGTTAGATAAGTGAGTTTGACTCAGACAGGGTTCTCCGATGGCAATGAGCTTTAGAGGGACTCTTGCCAGAGGAAGAAAACACTGTCTCATATAAAGCACGTACTTGGCAGTGCTGAATAAGTAATACAGTCAAGTACTTTCAGAAAAAAAGGTAACAGGTCACCTTAAAGTTATACAGTGCAAACTATGTTAGTGATACAGAATGATAATTAAGAGCCTGGGCTTTGAAGCTAAAACATACAAACACACACACGCACACACATATGTACACACACACACACACACACACACACAAACACACACTCCTCAAAGTCCTTGGGTCCATGTTCAAGTGCTTCCTTGCATTTGCTGTATGGTATTACTAAATCTCTTAGCCTCAGTCTCATCATCTGTAAAACAGAAATGACCAACTCATGTCATCAGGTTTAAACACTGGTACAATATTAACACAATATGCTTAATAAATGGGAAATATTTTTATTATGAACTACAAATACCTTCTCTGTGCCCAGGGTCAGTATCACACACTTCGTATGTATTATTTCTTCTCCTCACTACACTCCTGAAAAGTAGACATTATTATCCCATTTAATCAAAAAGAACCTTCTGCTCAGAGAAGTCAAATGACTGGTAGACAACAAAATCAGGATCTGAACTCACAATCAGACTCCACAGGCCATTTTCTTGAAAGGCACTGTACCATGTTGGAGTGCTGATATATTTGTAGTGATTAGAACACAGGTCTCCAAAACACTACCCATGTCTTTACTTGCACAGTGTGTTGGCACAGGTTGGTACTAAGAACAACACGAACAGTCCAGAAGACTGTAGTTCTGGTTCTGGTTCTACTACTGACTTGCTGTCTAGCTTTATGTGGGACCACCCTTTGTCTGTTTATTTGTTTGTAAAATGAACGTATTGTCTAGAAAATCACCAATGTCCCTCAGTTCTAAAGACACCATGATAATGTGATTCGACCTTGAGCAATATCTGAATATCCCTGATAGCACTTTGGGGTCATGACATTTTTTACTCAAAAGACCAAGAGCAAATGTACTTGTTTGGACTCGTACAGAACTGGGAGCTTCTTGTCATTACTAAGACTACTTGAAGAGGCAGTGGAGGGGGTGTTTTTATTAAATGTCAGAGAGGAAAATATAAAAAGGACAACAATCCCAATGAGTCAACATAGTAGGCTGAATGCCAGTTCTCCCAGCTTCTAATAATTGGGTCTGTCAATGCACCTACGCTGATTTCTGCAAAGATGACTTCAGATCCTTGGTGACTTTTTCATGATGTGGAGATTCAGTCAGCCTGAGCATGATTCCATTGATTCTTTTTTTAAAAAACAATTTTTCTAGACTGGGTGTGGTGACTCAAGCCTGAAATCCAAGCACTATGGGAAGCCAAGGCAAGAGGATTGCCCGAGTCTAGGGGTTCATGATGGCAACTAGGTAAGACCTTGTCTCTAGAATAAATAAAAAAAAATTAGCTGGGCATGGTGGTGCATGCCTGTAGTTCCAGCTACTTGGAAGGCTGAAGCACAAGGATCACCTGAGCCCAGTAGGGCAAGGCTCTGGTGGCCGTGAGTGTGATACTGCACTCCAACCTGGACGACAGAGTGAGACTCCAACTCCAAAAAATAAATAAAAAGTTTTTCTGAGATGTCATTTGCATACCACAACATTTACCAATTATGTAACTCAAAGGTTTTTAGTATATTCACAGCTGTGTCACCAGTACCACAATTTTAGAACAGATTTATTACCCCCCCCATAAAAACTTGGACCCCACTGGCAGTCACTCACCATTTGCTTGCCCCTCACACACACACAATACTCTCAACTCCCAGCCCATTGCAACCACTAATCTTCTTTCTGTCTCTACAGAGTTGCCTATTCTGGACATTTTATATAAATGAAATTACACAATATATAGCCTTTTGTGTCTGACTTCTTTCACTTAGCATAACGTGTTCAAGATTCATCCGTGTAGTGTATGAGGTTCAATAATTAAATTCATGAATTCATTCTAGAAAAAGTGCTACATACCTCATTGCTGAATATCGATACAGTCACCTTCGAAATATTCCCCTTGGAAAGCTAGACACCAACGCCAGCACCTAGTCTACCTCTCAAAGCAATTTTGGAACTCTCTTTCTGGAATGGGATCAGAGTTGTCATTGTATCACCCTTTATGTCCTGAATGTCATCAAATGTCTTCCTTTCGATATTTCCTTTATCTTCGGGTAAAGAAAAAAGTAATTGGGGGCCAGATCAAGTGAGTAGGGTGGATGTTCCAATACATTTATTTGTACAGTGCTGCCAGTGTAAGCACACAGTGGCAAGTCCGTGAACTTAATTGTCAGATCTCAACAAATACCAACAACAGCTCTGATGGCCATTCCAGAGAAAGAGCTCCAAAATTGCTTTGATGAGTGAACTAGGCACTGGTATCAGTGCATAGCTTCCCAGGGGAAGTACTTCAAAGATGACCGTAGTAATATTCAGTAATGTGGTAGCACTTTTTCTAGGATGGGTCACAAACCTAATTGTTAGACCCTGTATATTAATACTCCATTCCTTTTTATGGCCAAGTATGCCTCCATTCATTGCATGGGCATGCCACATCTTGTTTATCCATTAATCAGTTGTTGGTCATTTAGGCTGCCTCCACCTTTTGGCTATTATGAGTAATGGTGCTATGAATTCTGTGTACAAATTTTGTGTGGACATGTTTTCATTCTTTTGGGTATATACCTTGGAGTGGAATTGCTAGGTCAAATGGTAACTCTATGTTTAATGTTTGGAAGAACCACCAAACTGTTTTCCAAAATGGTTGCACCATTTTATGTTTCTACCAGCAATTACTTGAAGATTCTATCTTCACCAACATTGCTACTGCCCACACGTTTCATTCTCACCATTCTGGTGGGAGAGCAGTGGTATCATGTTATAGTTTTGATTTGCATTTCCCTGAAGACCAATGATGTTGAACATCTTCTCATGTGCTCAGTGACCATTTGTATAACTTCTCTGGAGAGATGTCTTTGTAGAACTATTGATTATTTGTGGCATTACAACAACTCTCAATCAATCCTCCCCCAAAGGCAAGAAAGGTGGTTACTGTGTAGAGGGCTCAACAGTTAGGGGCCGTCAGCAAGCTGCTTTTCATGAGAACCCTGGAGTAGGAAGGGAGAGGGTCTGGATTCAGAATGGGGAGTCACAGAGCTCCCTGAGTATGCTGAAATCACTACAGTTTTCTTAAAGTAAAAGGAGAATACAAGTCTCTGTATCTCTGTATGAAACACACATTGCTTTTCAAACTTTAGTTGTTTGGCATCCTAGTAGAAATTTACAGTAGGGCATTACTCTGGTTTTTGTTTTTTCTTCCAGAAATCAAGATGTATGTAAAATAATCATGTCTGCCACTAGGGCACAGGGAAGACCAAAACTAACATTTATAAAAGACTGCTGTGTGCCGAGTTGTTTGCATACTTTATTAAATTCTTACAGCCACAATCATGAGGTTGCTATTATGAGCCGAGCTGTATTTAACTGATGAAGAGATTAAAATTCAGACAGATTATCTTTTTTTTGTTTGATTCGTAGCCTCACTCTGTGGCCCAGGCTAGAGTGCAGTGGCACAGTCATGGCCACCACAGCCTCACCTGCTGGGCTCAGGCGATCCTTCTGCCAAAGTCTTCCAAGTAGCTGGGACTACAGATGCACACCACCACATCCAGCTAATTTTTAATTTTATGTTAGAGATGAAGTCTCACCGAGTTGCCCGCATTGTTCTTAAACCCCTGGGGTCAGGCAATCCTCCTGCCTCCACCTCCCAAAATGCTGGAATTACAGGCACGAGCCACTGTACTTGGCTGCTCTTATTTTTATTTTGGCTAATTTATCTATCCTAGACTACTAATGGTGAGTTTAACTCTCCAGCACAGTTTTGTTTTGGCCACCCTCAGTCAAATGATATTTAAATTTTGGTTATTCTTATATATAAATATGAAATGATAAAAATGTGAATAAATGAATAAAACAAAGGCAATGGATACTGGTGGTGGGGCAGTCTGACTTGTTCCTTCTCATATTCATTGGGTCAAAGGCTTCTGTTTCTGACAATATGAAGGATTAGTTAACTTGAAGTCCTGATATAAGACAAAAATAGAAATGTTGACTCAAATATTAAAAATGACCTTGGAATTAACAGCAGCCACTGAGCATCATTACTGAGGACACAGACTTCCTAGGCAGTCTGGGGTTACAGGTTTGGGAGGGAAGGAGCAAATCATCACACAGGTGTCTGTATGGAAATTCATCCTTATTCTGTTCTTTTCGACTAAAGTTCCTTAAGAACGAGTTATATGAAGCTTTTATACTTCCAAAGTTTGTTGTCACATCCTGGGTGACCATACATATTGCTGAATGGATTAATGAATATTCACTTTGTCACCATGTAATTGTGAGGGGACCACAGCATAATGTACAGTTATAGACAAACCCTGCCTTCAGAAAATGATTTAGAAAATCCAGGCAGAAAATCTACATTAGGTGATAGTTTAAAGATAACATTTCTGACTGGGCATGGTGGCTCAAGCCTGTAATCTCAGCAATTTGGGAGGCCGAGGCGGAGCCTGTGGGTTTGAGATCAACCTGGACAACATGGCAAGACTTTGTCTCTACAATAAAAATTAAAAAATTAGCTGGGCATGGTAGTGCGCGACTGTAGTTCTGGCTACTTGGAAGGCTAAGGTGGAAGGATCGCCAGAGCCCAACAGGTTGACGCTGGGCTGGCAGTCAGCATGCCACTGCACTCCAGCCTGGGTTATGGAGTGAGACTCCAATTCAAAAAATAAAAAATAAAAATAAATAAAGATAACATTCCCCTGTACATTCAAGTGCACTTACAGACAGAATTTATGGCACAAGAGACTAGGAACATTGAAACAGAACTGCTAACGGTTCCTGGGAACCAAAGAGCAATTGGAAAAAAAAATCAGAGATTGTACTGTTTATTATAAAATTATAAGCACTTGATTGCCTCTGTGTTTATGGCTTGTCCGAGACAGGCCTGTAAATTTTTTTGTTACATTTTGAAGGTCTAATGTTTCAAGGGTTTGGTGTTCCTGCTCACTTTGCCTTTGTTCAAAATGTCCCTCTAAACGAACTGTCTATCCACTGGCCCCAGCCACAGTGAAGCAATGGACATGCTCTATTTCTCCAGCCTTTCATTTGGCAGGTAACTGTGTGTGGAGACCCCGCACGTGTCAGACTTCTGCCAAGGTCTGTGATCTTGAGATGGGCAACATAGACCCTGCACTGAGTAGCTGTTAGTCCTAGGAAGGTAGCATCAATTTGACGCTTAGTGCATATGGCCTATAAAATGGTACTTTCACATATATTTCAATAGGTGCACATATCATTATTTACATTTATAAAATTCATATGTATCATATGAAAATTGGTGTGAAGCAGTACTATGGGGAGCATAATACACTAACCAAGCACAGGCTATAGAAGGGAGACCCCCAAAAAACCAGAATTATCTTTTGGAGGGCTGGCCCCTTTTAGTGCACTTAGAATTTGTTCCTCTGGACCAAATAGTCAACCAAAGTTTTTATCTGGAAGTTTTGAGAAGGTTGCATCACAATTTGTGGGAAAAACGTCCCGAGTTGTGGCAAATAGGTGACTGGTTCTTCCACCATGATAACCACCTACCCACAATGCACTGAATGTTCAGCTGTTTTTTACCAAAACGGCATGACCCCCATACCCCACCCTCCCTATTTACCCCATCTTGCCCTGAATGACTTTTTTATATTTCCCTGGATGAAAAAAAGTTTTCACAGGGAAACATTTTGCCAAGGTAGAAGAGGTGAATCAAAAAATGGCAGAAGCACTAAAAGGCACTCAAATTGACAAGTTCAAAAACTTAGCAGTGAAAAAAGTGTTTCAATAGACGGATTTCATCAGTCAGAGAGTACTTGGAAGGTAACATGTTTAAACATGTAAGAATACACAATTTTCTGTAAATAAATCTCAGGTTTTTTGGGATCCCCTCTTGTAGAGTCATACTAAAAAGAGTCCAGAACTAAGATTAAAATCAAATGGTGTGCCTGGGCAAATTCATGTTAGAGTCTTGAATTCTTCTCTGGCAAATGTGGATGATTGGGAGAACCCATGAATGGAAGAATGGAAGTGTGTACCAGGTTGACCAATGCACAGTGATGGTGTGACAGGGCAGCCAGTGCACAGTGATGAGGTGACAAGATAACCAGTGCACAGTGATGGCATGACATGGCAGCCCGTGCACAGTGATGGTGCCACACTTGCTCATTCCTCTGTGTGTATGTATCACATTGCTTCAAGCACACTGCAAACTAAATCTTCTTAGGGATAGGACTCATGTGTGTTCCTTGGCATCCCCCCCAGAGGTCAGTCCGCTGCCATACATGGAGCAGAATGGTTGATTACGAAAGGTTTTAGAGAGTCTGCTACCTATCCAAGACCTTCTTGCCACAGATGTTCTCGAAATGTTTGGGAATTGAAAATTAATGCCTACTTAGAGTTGGAATAACTGACTTTTCCTTTATGGTTGAAGATTGAAGATGAACTTATGCTGGCACCAGGATTTGCTGCCCCACCCTACCTAGATTATTCTGGCTACCACCAGTACATAGAGGAGAGTCTTCCTCCAGAAAGCCCAGCACTGTATGGCCTCCATCCAAATGCTGAAATAGAATTCCTGACGGTGATGTCCAACACTCTCTTCAGAACTTTGCTGGAGATGCAGCCCAGGAATGCACTCAGCAGTGATGAACTGGGGCAGTCTACAGAAGAAAAGGTAGAGGATCTTTTCTTTTTTATTGAGGTACATCTTTCATACACTGAAGTGTACTAATCTGAAGCGTACTACTCAGTGAATTTTTGCACCTATGTTATATACTCCTATAACCACCAGCTGAATCAAAATACAAAACATTTCCAACACTCCAGAAGGATACTCGTACTCATCAGTCAATGCCTCCCCACCGTCAAAGGTAACCAATAACCTTACCTCCAGCATCACAGGTGAACTTGGCCTGTTTTTGAAATTCAAATACGTGGATTCATATAGTGTCTGCTAATTCATGTCTAACTCCTTTCGCCCTGCATTATATTTGTAAGATTCATCCATGCTGGTCATGTACCAATGGTTCATGTTTGTTTAGCATTCTACTATATGAATATACAATTCTTTATTTGTTCATCCTACTGTGAATGGATGTAAAAGATTATTGCTTCTTGCTTTTCACTTTTATGAATATCGAAGCCATGAACATTCTTATAGTCTTTTGTCAACAAACATTAACTCACAAAGGTGTCCACTTATTATACTCATTTCTCTATATTCGGAAGTGGGATTGCCAGATCACAGGGCATAATGTTTAACTTTAATAGTGATCCTAAACAATTTTCTAAAGTGGCTGTACCCGTTACACTCCCAACAGATATGCATGTGAGTTCCAGTTGTGATTTTGTTACGAGTGATGATATCTCATAGTGGTTTTAGTTTTGTGTTCCTCAATTGAAGAATAATATAGAGCATCTTTTTGCAAGTTTATGACCATTTGGATATACTTACATGTTAAGTACCTGTTCTAGCTGCTTTCCCAATTTTTAATTGGGCTATCAATCTTTTTCTTACTGATCTGTAAGAACTCTTTAATCTGGATATATGTCCTTGCTTATATACATGTATTACAATGTTCATCCATTTGGGAAACAACTATAACTTTAAGAGAATCTGAGGTGAGTAAGGTGTGTATCTGGTTTTTGTGCTTATCTCTTTCCACCAAGGAACCACAGATATCTGTATCTTCTCCACATTTGTGGTTTGCCTTTTACTCTCTTGTGTTTTGGGATCTGTCACTTTTTTTTTTTTTTTTTTTTTTTTTTTGAGTCAGATTCTCACTCTGTTGCCCAGGCTGGAGTGCAGCGGCGTGCTCACGGCCACCGCAGACTCAACCTGCTGGATTCAGGCAATCCTTCCACCTCAGTCTTCCAAATATCTGGAACAACAGGCGTGTGCCACCACACCCGGCATCTCATTTTCTTATGGTGTTATTTTTACATTGTCTTGGGAGATCAACATTATTTTCTAAAGTTATTTATTACCTTAGAATAATGGGGTTGAAAAATCTTCATTTTACCTTAGATTAGAATCATGTTTCTAATTTAAAACTTTAATAGTCGAGCCGGGTTTAGTGACTCAGTCCTGTAATCCCAGCACTTTGGGAGGCCGAGGTGAGTGAATTGCCTGAGGCTGAGGTGAGTGAATTGCCTGAGCCCATAGGTTCAAGACCAGCCTGGGCAACTTGGCGAGACCTCATCTCTATAATAAATCCAAAAATATTAGCCGGGCGTGCTAGTGTGGGCCTGTAGTTTCAGCAACTTGGAAGCTGAGGTAGAAGGATTGCCAGAGCCCAGCAGGTCAATGCTGGGGTGGCTGTGAGTATGCCACTGCACTCCAGCCTGGGCTACAGAGTGAGACTCCAACTTGAAAAAAAAAATCAAAAAACTTTTAATAGTTGCCTTTCCCAAATAATTAGCCCTTATTTATCTCAATTTTACTAGTCAGGATTTGAATGATATGAATTCAGGTTATTGAAACCCACTAAATATCAGATCTAATTATAGTGAAGTTCCAGGAACTATCCATATTTCTTGAAAATTTTCCATTATTTTTTGACCCATTCATTGAGACACTTGTTGTAATTTAGAAGTGTTACAGTTTGTTGGTGTGTGTTTCATCCTATGTACTAACATCTCTATAAGTATGTTACATTTTTAAAAAAGATGAACAAGGCAAACATGCATCCATTTGGAAACAACTACAGCATTAATAGAATCTGAGAGGTGGGTGAGGTCTGCATCTGGAGTTTGTATTTGCCTCTTTCCAACCAGGAAGCTGATCATTATACCAGAAAATGCAGAGCATATGAAGTAAAGATGGCTCGTCACCCCAGGTCGGCAAACAGATTGTAACAGTGACCATGTGTTGGGTGCTTACTGTATACCGATACTATAAAGGATGTTCTACAGACACACTATTTAATCTACAATAATTCCAAGTGCTATTAGGATCCCTACTCAGAGATATACTTAGATGACTTGCCAAGGCCAGGCAGCCACAAAGAACCAGTGAAGAAACCCAATTCTTAGTGCCATTCTTTTCCTGCTACCCTATGTTTCATAGTCTGCTACTGCTGTAAATGAGGTTAACATTTCAGGATCTGACAAATTACCTGCCAGTAATGCCAACTTGCAGGTATGATGTCAGAACCATAGGAAGCAATCTAAGAAATCAAGAAGAAAAGCTGCTGAGGCTAAAGACAGGCAGTTTTTCCATCTTTTGTCTTTTCTAGATATTTATTGGTTTTTCCAGCTCAGTGAAGCTGCATAGATGTACATCTGAGTACTATTTGCATATTCACACCTTCAATGTATATATCTTTCATTTCTTCAGGGCTACAATTACAGAAGATGGAGGAATCTTTGTTCAAAAATGATGACATCATTGGGAGGGCAGTAGCATAGTTAGAAGAATTAGATCATGATTAAAAGGTCTCCTTGGTTCATGCAACTTTTTAAATGACTTGTTCATTTAGCCAATTATGAAATACTGTACCCAAAGGATGGGATGCTATTTCCTTTGGTCACATCTTTATATACAGATGACATGTAGTTGATGACTAGTCTATACTCCCTAAATGTTAAGTGCAAATCAACAGGAGCTCCTTCCTGAACCAGAATTTGTTCCTCCAGATCAAACAGTCGTCAAAGTTTTTATCTGGAAGTTTTGAGAAGGTTGTGTCACAACTTGTGGAAAAAAAATCTCGAGTTGTGGCACCTTCAATCTGGGGCTCTGAGAAAGGGCAGGTGCTGGCACTGCTGCAGAAGCAATCGGAGTAGTTGGCACTGTTGCTCTGTCCACTTCTTGGAAGCAGTCGGCATCTTTTAAATGCATTCACAGGCATCTTTGGAAGCTGTACCACGTATTATGAGACTTCAAAAACAGAGGATTTATATAGTCATCCTGACCAAAACTGAAATAGAAAAAAGTTACATCTTTGCATGTGTTAATGATTTTAGGTTAAGAATGCCTTGGATGACATTTTGGAGAAACTTCCAGAAGAATTCAACATGGCAGAAATAATGCAAAAAAACTCAAATCGAAGCCCCTATGCCCTTGTTTGCTTCCAAGAATGCGAGAGGATGAATATTCTCATTCGAGAAATCCGTGGATCGCTTGAACAATTAGACCTTGGTCTGAAGGTAAGTTTCAAGTGGGACTAGAACAAGTTTCACCACACACGAAGATACTCACAATGGCCTTTTTTCTCCATACAAGGGGGAGCTGACATTATCTCCCAATGTGGAAGCCCAGCAGTACGCACTGAGTTACGACACAGTACCAGACACTTGGAGGAAACTGGCTTATCCTTCTACTTATGGCCTAGCCCAGTGGTAAGCTACCCCATCCTCACTGCCACTGGCCCTGGTCAGCCTTGGTGCTGAGTTCAAGCTCTGAATTATGCCTCGTGATAACTATGAAGATTATGCTTTATGACTGCACTCAGCCAGTAACTGCAAACTCTACCACCAGTTTCATTTGTGTTTCCTTGGTATATTGCTTCAAAAGAGAAAATCATTTAAAAGTCAGGGTCAGAGCAAGATTCTGCCTCTCGCTTATTAAGTATTTGATCTTGGGCAAAATACCTCATCTGTTTGTGTCTCCATTTTTCATATGAAAAATGTAGATAATAGAATTCCTTCATTGAGTTGTTATAAGATTGAGACCATGGAAGGTAATTTGAGTTTGCCCTTATGTCCTTTTATACCCTTATTTTCCCAGCCAGTGATGACTAATACCTTCCCATAGACAACATTTTAAAGTTTGTAATATGGTTTGTAGTAAACTAGACTGCCTCCAGCATGTGGATGTGACTACAGCAATGTGTCACAAAGCCAGGCAGAAATTTACAGATTGCTGAAGGCCAGTATCACTCTCAAGATGCTCCTTGACCTTGGTAGACAATTCCAGCTTTACTAGGCTCTCTTTATTCCAGGCCTTTTGGTGCTAAGGTTTTTTGTCCCTACTTACCTGAGTCATTCTTCCATGAACCCGGGCACTACTTTGAGCCTTCAACTGTAGGTTCCACTGGAATCCCAAATGACCGTCCCCTAGGCACCTCAGTGTAGGCTGTGTGGGATGGATGGGTGCAAACACAGGGTGGGGAGGGGCACACATAGGTCCAAGCAACTGCAGCAGAGCAGTGAGCAGAACCTCTCTGTGGACTTCTAATGCTGTAAATATCCCAAAGCAGATTTTATATATCCAGAGATGAATGACTTACACACACCGTTGCATTTTATGATTAATGATAACTTTGGACTTATTTCCGCCATCTTATTTTGTGCTAACTTCTTAATTTCTCTTAGCTTCCTTTTTCCCAACATTTTCTGACTTCTGTCAATTTACTTGTTTTCTTCATAGCCCTGTACCATTCCTAGTATGTTAGTGGAGACCCCTTACATTGCAACATACACACCTTGGGTTTCTCTAACATAAAGTTCCCTTAGACCATTCAACCTCTCTCTGAATATAAGCCTCCTTCTGGTCTAGAATTACTGTTCCATCTCATTTTTAAACCACAGTATTTTTGTTCTGTTTTACATATAGTCAGTAATTATTTGTGTTTTAACATACCATACCAAGTTTTTTGCACATCATTGCTATTTGCATCTCATCTGGGCTCCTTTTTATCAAAGTATAAAATATATAGCAGGGCTGTGTCTAAAACTGTCTTTACTATGCTTTGATTCTTGCTTGATAGTTTAATACTTCTTTTTTTTTGAGTTAGAGTCTCACTCTGTCACCCAGACTGGAGTGCAGTGGCCGCTCCTGGCCACTGCAGCCTCGACCCGCTGGGCTCCGGCGATCCTTCTGCTTCAGCCTTCCAAGTAGCCAGAACTACAGGCGCGCGCTACCACACCCGGCTAATTTTTTGATTTACTGTAGAGATGACGTCTCACCAAGTTGCCCAGGCGGGTCTCGAACCCATGGGCTCAGGCAATTCACTCACCTCAGCCTCCCAAGTCGCGGGATTACAGGCTAAGCCACTGAGCCCGGCTAGTTTAATACTTCTATATAGAATTCTAAGACACAAAGACTCATTTCCCTCAGGGCTTTGGTGTTACAACTCTACTGTTTTCTATCACTGATTGTAGGTGATCAATCTGTTCTTAAATATATACTTGTCATTCCTTCAAAAATAAAGTTTTTTAAAGTCCTCTCTTTACCCGGTGTTCAGCAATTTTACTGTATTGAGGTTTAAAGTGTATCCTGCTTAGTACCACATGGCTAAAAATGTGAGTTCAACCATAGCTTCCATTCTAAAAAACTGGCCCTTATTTCTCCTCATTTTTTTTGAAGATGCTCTCCCTCTATTTTCTTCACTGTCGACATTATCTACCTGAACCTTCATGTTTTCAATTTGTGTGTCTCTTGGCTATAGTCTAGTTGATTTTTGTCAGTTCTGGGTGATCTTCATTATATCTTTAACTATCTCCCTTGATTTAACTATTTAAGTTTCATTGTCCATAATTTTCAGCTCCAAGCTGTATTGGAAAGACAGTTTCATAAAGTCCTGCTTTTGTTTTTATGACTATTACTCTCTTCCCAAGGAATTTAAACATACTTACAAATGAGTGTTTTGAGATTCTTCTATTTTTATTTCTTGGATTATAAATCTTGTTGGTTTGCTGGGTGGTTTTCATGTCATATAGTTTGCTGTCTTTATACATGGATGAGTTTGACAGGTTATAAGAACACTTAAGACACTCTTTTGGAGGGCTTTGTAGCCACTGCTCTATTCTCTTGTCAAATGCTGCCGTGGAGATGTCCATGAGCATCCTTTCTTCCCTATATAACTGGCTTCGTGTTTCCTGCCCATCCAAGGGATTACCATATAAAGATTTTAGTATTGATTATTCCGAACTAGATTTTATTGAAACATGATGTACCCTTGATTATACAGATCCAAATTTGCAATTTAGAAAAACTCAGTTTCTAGAAGTAATTAAATATTCATGCTTTATTTCAGCTTTCATCTTATCCCTTTCACTCCAACCCTTTGCAGCTCTCCCTTTTCACTTTTTTCTCCCTAACACTGCTTCACTTTTTGCTTTCATTTTTGTAATTGTTTCTACTTCTTTCCTGAGATCATTAAACCTAATGTCCTCTTTTTCCTATCTGATCACTTCCAAGCCATAATCCTGCTTAAATCAACAATCACTTGACATTTTTTAAATGGTTGCAAATTGGCTGCAATGCTTCTCCTTGTTGTGGTCATGTTTTGAAGGAAGTCTTTTCTGCCCCTGCTTTTCCCATTCTTTGCCTCTTTCGTCACCTTTGAGTCGAGCCTGTGCTGCTCCTTTTTATGATCTTCAAGTACCTTCTTCTTAATCCAGCTACCTGAAAGAACGTAACATGGGTCGGGGCACAGGTCCTGTTCTGAGCTAGCCAGCATTTCCTTTGTGATGACCCAAGTGTGAATGTGAACATTCTGAGCCTTAATCTTTCTTCATGGCTCAGATCTGCCAAAGCCATTTTCTGCCATGGTGGTTTGTGGGGTGACTCTTCATTCAACCCTGCTTCCTGTGCAACTCTGAATTCATCATGGTCCCATAAAACTTCAGTGCCGGCCCTTTGCCGGCTTTTACGTTGTGCTGCCCTGTGTTCCACCCTCATCTTTACTTTATTCCCTATTTAGCAACCCTTAAAATCTACATCTCAAGGTTTCTTATGCCACCGAGCTTCATCAGAAAAGTTCATTTGTCCTTACCTGCGAGAGTCAGCTTCCTCACAGGAAAACTGCAACAACTTCCTACCTTGCATAGTCGTGACATGAAAACATGGATATAAACAGCCCATTTTGCAAGCCACAGCCATGATAGAAGATTGTTGTTTTCCTTTTTTTTTTTTTTAAAGCAGGATTTATTAAGAAGACAGAAAAGCTCCCACAGCGGGAGGGGAACCGAGGAGGCTGCCCATTGTTTTCCTTATCTCACACTGGACGATTGTTGGCACATGCTCACCCCCCCCCCCCGCCCTTTCACCTTTCTTGAAAACTCTGGTCTTGTACCAACCGTCACAGCCTTGCCCCCCTCCCCCACCCTCCAACATGGGTGTTTTTTGCTGTGTGTTCTGGCTGCACCTTGTACATACCTTCCCGGTAGCACTTGTTAGCCCGTCATATTGGAGGTGACCTTTGTACAGTCACCACACAACACTATCTAAACAAAACAGTTGAACACATGGAGACGAGTGTTCCATATTCCTCAGTGTGTCTTGCCCCAACAGTAATATCCGTCAGAGCTCCAGGTTTCAAACTAGCTCTTTTAAGGGACAATTCCCTGCAAATCATCAGGGAAAGATTTACTGCCTATTAGCGGTATACTTCTCTTCCACCACTAGCCTTCCCCAGAAACTACCGGAAAATGACTATTTTACTGAATAGCAAATTTATTTCTTCCTACCTCCCATGAACCAGGTTTAATGACCTCCTCCTGCGATGCCGACAACTGGATACTTGGACACAAGACCTTGCCCTCCCGGCTGTCGTGTGGCTTTCTGGCTTCTTCAACCCCCAATCCTTCTTAACTGGTAAGGGCTGAGGCAGGTCAGTCCCTGATGCAGACAGGACCACACCCCTAGCGGAAATCCTGCCTTGTTTGACCACGATGGACTCTGATGGGCTCTCGTTGCCCTGATTACCAATTCTCAAGCAGCAGCCATGACAACAGAGTAGGACAGACTGGAAGCTGTAGAGGAAGCAAGGTCCTCAGCAGGAGGAAAGAGGGCCCCAGGAGCAGCCACCAAGTGAGGTGGGATGTGGTATGCTCCAGTAAATGTTTTCTGTAAAGGGTCATGTGGTCTCTGTCACAAAGACTCCACTTTGCCACTGTAGTGCAAAAACCACCACAAACACTGTGCAAATGGTCATGGCTGTTCCAGTAAAACTTTATTTACAGAGACAGCGAGGTTGTCCTGCAGGCCTTAGTTTGCCAACCCCTGCCATATGCAAATACCCACGAACCTAAAACATCCAACGGGGCTAATGGATGCCTCAGCGTACTGGTGGCTCACGGGAACCTTATGTACAACTTTTTTTTATCCTGGTCAATTTTTGTTCCTTATTCTCCCAAAGCAATCATGCAGACCATGGCTCGAAAAAACGAGTGGCCACTGGATAAAATGTGCTTGACTGTGGATGTTACCAAAAAAACAAAGGAGGATTATGGCCACCCCCCGAGGGAAGGCTCGTACCTCCACGGGCTGCTCATGGAAGGTAAGCCACCCTGCGGAGCGCATGGGAGCCTTTCCCAGGGTCAGGTTGGCATTTGTCCTCTGCTGGTTCTCAGCATCTCCTCACACAATAACCTCATGCTAGCGGTTGTTTCTCTCGTCTCCTCCTCTCTCTTTCAAATAATTTAAATGCTGGAATGTATGGTCGCATTTGGGTGATGGAGAACACTTAAATTTTGCACAAGCCAGACTCGGTGGCTCAGCCTGTAATCCCGTGCCTTTGGGAGGCTGAGGTGAGTGGATTGCCTGAGCCCGCAGGTTCGAGACCCGCCTGGGCAGCGAGACCTCATCTCTATAATAAATCAAAAAATCAGCCGGGCATGGTAGCGCATGCCTTAATTCTGGCTACTCGGAAGGCTGAGGCGGAAGGATGGCCGGAACCCAGCAGGTCGGGGCTGCGGTGGCCGGGAGCGGCCACTGCACTCCAGTCTGGGCAACAGAGTGAGACTCCAATTAAAAAAAAAAAAAAAAATTTGCACAAATATCTAGCATTAATGCTGCAGGATAACTTAAGGCATAAGCTGAATTGACACTGTTTTGCTTTTCAATGAAATCAAGTCAAAATATTTTTAAAGACTGTCAGTAAAATTTTACAAGACATTGGTGCCACTGCCCAATGTGAATCTCCAAGGGGGGCGGGACTAGGCAGAATTTTCCACATCTATCTGGTCATGTGTTTATTCCACAGGACACGTAGTCCCTACCAAGATGTTAATTTTTCACTTCAAAGCACGTACAAAGTTCAAAGAATTAAAGTCCAAATCTTTAGAGGCTGGGGAGGTGATGTAAATAAGTAACTGGAACTTGGTGTAAGAAAATAAGATGCAGTGGTTTAAAAGGGGGACCAGCGAGTTTGCTTTAATGTATTTGAATTCTCAAGGAATCTGATTTTGTAAAATTGTTCAGTTCACTTCCATGAGGAAGTGTAGCTATTAAGCATGGAAGCAATCGCCTCAGTCACAGGCGGGGTAACCCCCCTTTCAAAGTGTGTCTCGCACCAGCTTGGTAAGGATGCCACTGACAAGCAAAAACGTGACAACACTGGAATGTTTATTGTGTCCAACCATGAGACCATCAGTCCCAACATGCCACACAGTCACAACCACAGGCTTTGTTGTTGTGTTTTTGCCATAGGTGCCAGGTGGGACACCCAGTTGGGAAGCATCGCCGAGGCCCATCTCAAGGAGCTGACAGCTGCAATGCCAGTCATCTTTGCAAAAGCCACACCCGTGGACAGACAAGAAACCAAAAACACCTATGAGTGCCCTGTGTACAGAACCAAACTGAGAGGCTCCAGCTATGTCTGGACCTTCAGGCTAAAGAGCAAAGAGAAGGCCGCAAAATGGGTTCTGGCAGGCGTGGCTCTGCTGCTAGAAGCGTGAGACAGCCTAGGACTAAGCCTGCATCCCTCCGGCAGCAGCCAGAGCGCACAGGATTCCCACTGGCCACTGCACTGTTCCCATGCCCCTTGATTATTCTACTGAAAAGGCACAAAACGTATTCCAGCTGATGTCTCTTTTTAGTAATTTACACGTACATTCGCTTTTTAAAACGCTATCCTTTAAAAATGGAGAAGGGGGAGAGGAAGAAGCAAAAATGCAGAAAAACCAGCAGAAACCTATTCAGAAGCCATGGTCGCTGATTTTAGCCTTCCTGGGTCCCCTGCTGAAACCCCATCCCTCCACACAAAACAAATAAGTCCAGTTTCTCTCTCTTTTTCATCAAACTTTGAACATACAACCTCAGAAACAATACAGCTGGGAGGAAAGGAGGGGTTTTAGTTCTTATGGAAATTAAAAAGCAGTCTTTTTAAATAAAAAATTAGCCCTTATATTCTTTCAAAACATAGAAGCAGCAGGCCCCAGGTGAGTCCTGAAGGAAGGGATGGGATGGACACTCCTGCTAGCCGGTGGTACTCCGAGGCCTCCAGTGTCTGTAACGTGACGGTCCACTTCTGTTCAGTCAAGTTTGAATACAAATAAAACTTCTAGTACTGTCACATTCTATGGTTAATTGCACTTTGTAATTTAGGGGATCATTCTTCATTATAAACTTCCAATGACCCAGAGCAGGTTAAGCTCTGTGGTTTGAACCATGGTCACCCATGATAAGGCAAACTAAAGGGTATCTACTGAGTTTTACCCTGGTAAAAACTTGGCCTGGAGTGACTGGGAAGTAAAAGATCAAGACAACATAGATAATTAAACAGTGTCAAAGGCAAGAGTTGCTTATACAATGTCCTCTCTCTAACTTACCTGAACTTTAACTCCGCCCCATTTAAACTGTGCTTTTTAATCATCAGCAGATACTTTTAACAATTCAGTATCCAAACAGGTCTGTGTATACATGTCGATTCCTCTGCTTTGCTGTCTTCCTGAGAAATCATTTTAAGCATATAAACAATCTTTTTTTTAAAAATAGTATTTAGAAACAGTAAACTCCCACAAAGAATTTCTGTATAAAAATCACAACTGTAAAAAATCTTAGGCACAAATGGTATGCAAGTCTTGGTGAAGTACTCTATGGTGAGCTGGCTGGTTCTTCTCTTAATTGTCTTCTACCAGCTGCTTCTGTAAGCTGAAAAGAAGATGAGAAGGGTTTGATAAGTAGTTAACACAGCAGGAGCATTCTAGGTAGAGAGGATCAACAACCCCCAGGACAAAGCCAGAACCCAGATCTCCTGATACCTGATGCCTGCAATAATACCTGTCCTGTGGTTCAGGGTGCCCCAAGTGTGACTGGCCTCACTCCTAAATTCCAAAACAACCATTCAGAGCCTCTGACAAAATAAAACTCATAGCCCACAGTTCTGTCTCCTCTCTGCTCACTGGGTTGATGGCTGCCTTTGGCTCTTCACAGTCTGGATAGCTGGCCCTCAGCCCCGGTTTGGCTATTCCTTCCATTTCTGTTATACAACCTCAAAGGGGAATTTCCTTATACAGAAAATATCAGGCCTGAGTTGCTTCAATGCAAAGATTCAGAACAACGGCGCTTGAGGAAGTTTTTATATAACTCAGTCATGAAACAAGATAACAACTAACTCCTGTCTAGAGGGTCTCCCGTGATCGGCCCAGAGATTACAACCTCCATTTTTAACTGCTAGAGACCTACCTCTCCAGATACTCCTTAACGTTGTTGTAACCATAGAACTTAGCCAGATGGATGAGAATTCCTGTGGCACAGCGGCCATCACGCTTCCGACAGTAACTGCAATTGCAGATCCCACGGCAGGGAGGACACATCCAGTCCTGAGAGAGATGATGGCAAAAATTTCCCCTGTTATCTACAGGCTCTGGCAAGACCTGGGATTCTGGGCCAGCCTGGCTTGGACTCAGTCCATCTTCCAACCTCCAATCACATGGTATCTTTGAGTGTGTGTCACCGGGTGCCCTCACAGGGTGTGAAGGACCGCCCAATACACTGCCTCCTTTCTCACCTTTCACAAAGGCCCGCAAAAGCTGATCATGTCACACACGAACAGACACTGAAAAACGGTGGGTTTAGACAAAATCAGTTACACAGTTCGGGGGTTGGGGGGAAGGCACTAATAAAAAATTATGGACACCTTGGGAGGTGGAGGCAAGAGGATGACCTGAGCTCAGGAGTTCGACACCAGTGTGGGCAACTAGGCAAGACCTAGACTCCACAATAAATCAAAAAATTAGCTGGGCATGGTAGCACGCGCCTATAGTTCCAGCTACTTGGAAGGCTGAGGTGGAGGGATCGCAGGAGCCCAACAGGTCGACGCTGGGGTGGCCATGAATGTGGCACTGCACTCCAGCCTAGGTGACAGAGTGAGACTCCAACTCAAAAAAAGAAAAAAATTATGGAGACTGTCAAGAGCACATAGCTAAGCACAGAGCCCCGTAGGACTGCGCAGATCCAAGCCCATGAAGTCAACCCTGGAGTAGGATCACAGGGTTTCCAAAAGACCAGCTGGGAATACCAGCCTTTCCAGTATGTGTGCTTACTATCAAATACTGAGCCTGAGCAGCAGTTTATGTTCATTTATCAGCTGAGAAAAGTATATTTACCCATGTGACTGCTACAGAAACGGTCACACAACAAGGCTGTTACGAGCACAAGACTGCCGAGGTTCAAGATCATACTTACTAAGTGTGATACTATATCTCACCTTACAGAGGGAACTGAGGCATGGAGAAGTAATTTACCTACTTCATGAAGTTGAACAAATTCATAACAACTGAAAATAAAGGCCAGGTCCAGTGGCTCACACCTGTAATCCCATCACTTTGGGAGGCAAAGGCGAGAGGATTGCCTAAGCCCAGGGGTTTGAGATCAGTCTGGGCAACTTGGCAAGATGCCATCTCTAAAATAAATTTTAAAAATTAGCCAGGTATGGTGGTTACTTGGAAAGCTGAAGTGGAAGGCAAGGCTGTGGTGGCGATGAACGTGCCACTGCACTCCAGCCTGGGTGACAGAGTGAGACTCTGACTCAAAAAAAAAAAAAATTAAAAAATAAAATGTCTGCGACATTGGGCACAGTGCCAGGCACATAGCACTCTATATTGCAATCCACCCATCCATCTCCTGGTCCAATGAAATCAAAAGGAAAGCAAATCACTTTGCTGGAGAAAGCCACAAGGATCACATGTACAAATCCAAACAACTTATGAAAGTCTTGCTCTGCCACTGAAAAATCCACCAGAAACTTTTCTATTCTTCCACTGGTCAGCTTGCTCTCCTTTGAGAAGGAAACCCTATTTTTCATTTCCCCTGGAGTCTTAGGACGCAGAAGAGGAAGGTGGTGAAGGCTCTACAGAAACCAGAGCTCGGCCGGGATCAGTGGCTCAGCCTGTAATTCTAGCACTTTGGGAGACGGAGGCAAGTGGATTGCCTAAGCCCGCAGGTTCGAGACCAGCCCAGGCAACTTGGCAAGACCTCATCTCCACAATAAATCAAAATATTAGCCGGACATGGTAGCATGGACCTGTAGTTCTGGCTACTTGGAAGGCTGAAACAGAAGGATCGCTGGAGCCCAGGAGGTGGATGCTGGGGTGGCCATAAGTGTGCTTCTGCACCACGGCCTGTGTGACAGAGTGAGACACCCAACTCAAAAAAAAAAAGGAAACCAGAGCTCTGCAGCTACCAGGAGCCCTGTCTTCAGCTTGCTGCCTTTGCCAACACAGTTTACAATGGACACAAATGGCTCCTACCGGGTCCAGCAGCGCCGACCTCACGTCCTCCCCATAGCGGTTCCGCAGGCACGGCCCACAGAACTGTCCTCGCACACCACCGCAGCTCTGGTTCCGACACACCGTCTTGGTGTCAATTGTCTTCTGCCGACACTGATGGCACGTGTTGCCCTAGAGAGGATAGTGGCGAGTGGCTGAACACAGGAATTCATGAGGCCAGATGCTATCACATGCACCACCAATCAAATGAGGAAGCCCCTAGAATAGAGCAGGATTGTTTCCCTAGTACAACCATGGTATCCTTGTCTAGATGGCAAGCATTTCAGTCCTGGGGCCAGAGAAGCACATCAGGCCAGATGAGGTTGAGTAGAGAGCCCAGAAGGAATGAAATGATCAGGCTTGAGGCAGGGGACATGGGGCAGCGGTCACCTGTTGCCTTTGGGGGTAAGTCCTGATACATTATAAAAACAACGTAGGATTTCAAATACCAAAGGCAACAGGTGACCAAGCAGCAATGAGGCTCAGGTGGCATCAACGTGACTCTAGCTTAGTGCTGCAGACCTGAATATCATTAGCATAAAAATCTATGTTTGGTTTTTTTTAAATGTTGGTGATTAAATTTAAAACATTTTAATACTACCTTAAGATAGTGTCCCATTACTTATCAAAAAGAAAAAAAAAGGCCAGGTGCAGTGGCTCACGCCTGTAATCTCAGAGCTTTGGGAGGCCAAGGCAAGAGGATTACCTGAGCCCAGGAGTTTGAGACCAGCCTGAGTAACATGGCAAGACCATATCACTATAATAAAATAAAGAATAAAAATTCGACAGGCATGGTGGTAAGCACCTGTAGTCCCAATTACTTGGAAGACTGAGGTAGAAGGATCACCTGAGCCCATCAGGTTAAAGATGCAGTAGCCATGATCGGGCCACTGCACTCCAGCTTGGGCAAGAGAGTGAGACTCCAGTTCAAAAAAATAAAAATAAAAATAAAAAACACACAGAACAACACAAAGCTTCCCTCTACAGCATTTAGAAGAAATGTTAAGCTATTTCCTGCCCACCAAAGATATTCTGTTAACCTTTGTTTTCTATGGTTACTCCCCAAATACACTATCCTTTTTCAATATTTTAAACATATAACTGTATAAATATTTAAAATATAACTGTATCTAAATATCTTTTTTAAGCAATACTCCTGCCTTCCCCCAGATGATATGCATCCCCAAGAAAATTCCTTCTTCTGATGAGAATTCCTACACTGAGCTGTCTCTCCTGTCCCAAGCATAGTTGACCCTTGAGCCCTTCCAATTTAGAGCCTGGCTCAGAGTCTTCAGAAAGATGGCACAAGGGGGTAAGTCCTGATACATTATAAAAACAACGTAGGATTTCAAATACCAATGCCTTAGGCTCCCAATCAGAATCACAATCATGACAATTATTTGTAATACATAATTTACCAGAACTTTGTCATAGATTTTATCGCGAACAGTTATGGCAACATTTTCTAAGTCCTCTTCAGTGATATCTTCCACGGGCCGAAAAGAAGACATGCGGCGACGTCGCCTATACTCCCGGCATTTTCCCTGCAAAACAGGCGAAAGGAGAATCCAGAGTAAGGTATTTTGAGTGGTTAAAAAAAATCATGGCCGGGCTCAGTGGCTCAGCCTGTAATCCCAGCACTTTGGGAGGCCCAGGTAAGTGGATTGCCTGAGCCTGTGTCTTTACAATAAATAAAAAATTAGCCAGGTGTGGCAGCGCACGCCCATAGTTCCAGTCACTTGGAAGGCTGAGGCGGAAGGATTGCCTGAGCCCAGGAGGTCAACACTGGGGTAGCTGTGAACATGCGTGCCACTGCACTCCAGCCTGGGTAACAGAGTGAGACTCCAACTCAAAAAAAAAAGAGCCGGGCTCGGTGGCTCAGCCTGTAATCCCAAACCTTTGGGAGGCTGAGGTGAGTAGATTGCCTGAGCCCGCGGGTTCGAGACCCGCCTGGGCAGCAAGACCTCATCTCTACAGTAAATCAAAAAATCAGCCGGGCATGGTAGCGCATGCCTGTAATTCTGGCTACTCAGAAGGCTGAAACGGAAAGATCGCCGGAGCCCAGCAGGCGAGGCTGCGGTGGCCGGGAGCGGCCACTGCACTCCAGTCTGCGTGACCGAGTGAGACTCCAACTCAAAAAAATAAATTAAAAAAAAAGAGCATTTTCCTCTCAAAGATCTCTCACCCTTTCTGTTAGTCATGTCCCTTTGCTAGTTCCCTAGAATCACTTCATTCATTTAGTCATTTACTGAGCTCCAGCCACCACCACCAGCTGCGAAGCTGTCTTCTCAGCAAAGAGATACAATAAACAAGAAACTCACTATGCAGAAGTTTTAACCCATTTCCTTTCAACCAAAGATATTCTGTCACCAGGTGCTGTGGCTCAAACCTGTAATCCCAGCACTTTGGGAGACTGAAGCAAGAGCACTGCCTGAGCCCAGGGGTTTGAGACCAGCCTGGGCAATTTGGCAAGCCCTCATCTCTACAATACATCAAAAAATTAGCCAGGTGTGTTGGTGCATACTTGTAGTTCCAGCTATTTGGAAGGCTGAGGCAGAAGGATCGCCTGAGCCAAGCAGGTTGAGACTGCAGTGGCCGTGCACATACGCCACTGCACTCCAGACTGGGTAACAGAGCGAGACTGACTCAATTAAAAAATAAAAAGATATTCTGTCAAACTTTATTTCCTATGGCTCAGGTGTCTTGGTTCTTTGGTGTGAGCTCTGTGGGGACAGGGAAGTAAACCAAGCAAACCACACTGAATAGCCAAACCCACAAATGGGAAAGAAGGGTCCCAAGCTTCTCCTTCCAAAATGAAAGCATGCAAAACACCTCATTCCTCAAACAGAAAGGCAAAGTGGAAAATATACTCTTCCACATGCAAAACCACAAAGCTGACTGGAGCTGTTAACAGGTCTTTACTGCGGGCACCAGAGATTAGGCTGGGGTCCTCACAAACAAGCTGCTTCTCAGCTCGGCTTAGATGAAGGATCCTCTCTGTGACCCACAGTTTAGACCAGGGGTTCCTCTCAAAGTGTGGTCCAAGAATTATTACCAAGCTGGGAACTTGATAGAAATTCTCAGCTGCTGTGACCCTGTGGTGATTGTGATATGTTCTCAAGTTTGAAGACCAATAGCTCAGACAAAGAATAGCTCAGTTATTGGCCAGACTATACCCCGCTAATTGTCTTCCTTCTTCTGAAACTGTAAAACTCTTCTGCAAATTTGGAGGCCGAGACAGTGAAGTTCTCTAGAGCAAACTTCTCAGGAGGTCGCGCACTCCGGGTTGGGTTCATACGCCGTGTGATCTCTCCTTCGGAGAAGGCCCGCCGCACTGTTTTCTTCTTCTGAAATCAAGAGCACAGACACATGCAACTGGGGACTCTCCTGAATAAAAGTCATCTGGTGAATGTTAACTAAATCTCAGTACTGGTATGAATAACTCATAATGAGTTTCACTTACAGAAGCCGAGGTCGGGGTGCGTACTGGGAAGAAATCTGGCATGGAGTTCAATTCCGCCAACAACTGAGCAAGCTGAAGTTCAGAACAAAAGAAAGGATCTTAAATAAATTATGCCGCCAGGTCAAGGTCACTCAACACCTATCACATGTCTTCAATTTTGTTACCATAAGAAACCTGACTTAAGTAGTTTATGAACCCTTAACAATCATACTTCTGCCCTCAAGTGTGAAAATTCTATCTCCAGAGGTGAGGTGCTGAAGTCATTATGCCTATGAAGGTACTTTATGTCTATTCCTTAATAAAGGACAACGTGACACTTTGAAAACAGTCCTGGAATGATCAAGGCCTGGAGTATGGTGTTTGAATTCGAACTTGCTTGGAGGGTAATTAGCAGTGGGACTCTGGGACAAATCATTCTGCACACCTGAATCTCAAGTTTCAGCATGTTTAAAAAGAAAATGCTCCACTACAGTAGTCTAGTGGTTATCTAGCACTCCAATAGTCTAATTCTCTAAATAGGTTAATTTCTCATCAATAAAAAAATTTATAAAAATATTAGCAAATATGCACCTAATAACACCAAATAATAGGCACCATATTCCAATCAAGAGAATTTGATCAGGATTCTTTTTAGTTTTAGATTTACATAAAAATAAGGGCGTCACTAAAAAATCGTGAAGAACATAGTTCTTATTTCATTTTGTTTTTTTTGTTTTTTTTTGTTTTTTTTTTTTGAGTTGGAGTCTCACTCTGTCGCCCAGACTGGAGTGCAGTGGCCGCTCCCGGCCACCGCAGCCTCGCCTGCTGGGCTCCGGCGATCCTTCCGCCTCAGCCTTCCAAGTAGCCGGAATTACAGGCACGCGCTACCACGCCCAGCTGATTTTTTGATTTATTGTAGAGATGAGGTCTTGCTGCCCAGGCGGGTCTCGAACCCGCGGGCTCAGGCAATCCACTCACCTCAGCCTCCCAAAGGCGCGGGATTACAGGCTGAGCCACCGAGCCCGGCTCATTTTGTTTTTTGAGAGACATGGTCTCACTCAGCCTAGAGTGCAACGGCACAGTTATGGCTCACTAAAGCCTCCTGGGCTCAAGCTATCGTCCTATCTCAGCTTCCCAAGTAGCAAGGATTACAGGCATGTGCCACTACACCTGGCTAATATATTTTTGTAGACACAAGGTCTCACTATGTTGCCCAGGTTGGTCTCAAACTCCTGGCTCAAGGGATTCTCCCACCTCAGCCTTTCAAAGTGCTGGGATTATAGGAGTGAGTCACTGTTCCCGGCCTCATAGTTCCTATTTTAATGATGCAGATGAATACAGTGCCGAAAATTTCCCTTAGCTAAGCACAAATACGCCTTCAGATAAAAAAAATCACCCAAGAGTAGGCTTTCCATTTTTAAAAAGTAACTTATTAGACATGAAAGCTTATATAGCAGTGTCATTACATTATGAATTTTTAAAGAAAAAAATACACCAAAATGCTAAAAGTGATTATGACTGGTGGTTTAAAAAATAAAAAAAAAGGTGTTTATGAATAATTATGAAGCAAACAATGATTTATCACAATGATCAGATTAACAGTTACTGATCACATATTGCAAAACCAAATATACGTGATAAAGATTTCACCTTGTTCCATTAATTATCCCAATGAAGACACTATACAGAGAATTAAGAGCACTAACCTTGCTTTAATTCCTAGACCTCTTCCATTCCTTCAGATAATGTCTCAAAACTATGGCGGGTCCCCGCCAGAGAGCAATTTCAGGTGAAAAACCTCCTGCCTGACATGTACACTGCAACTCCTCGGTGGCCCTACTTCCTCTTTGCTCTTTTCTGCTGGGAGCAGGCCAGTTGTTCTGCCCCTCTCATCCCCAACACCACTAGATATTCAGAACTTAACTTGGAAACAGTAAGCAGCATTAGTTCATGGCACCATGTAGGGGGCTATAAATGGTCCTGGGGAGCCTCTTTCTGTTCCCAAACCAGAGCTGATCTGTAATAACTGCTTTGGGTTCTGGAAAAGAAAAAGGATACACAATACCCAGAGTGCATTTTCCTGCCAGAAGCCAAAGCAGTAGCAGCTACAGGAGCAAAGTAGCTCTGTGAGCCTTGGCAGCTGTTGTCAGGGCCCAGTGCCAACTCCCAGAGCACCCTCGGTGGCCAGACCCTGTACCAACTCCCAGAGCACCCTCTGTGGTCCGAGCCCGGTGTCAACTCTCAGAGCGCCCTCCACAGAAGCCTTACCATGGCTTTATTCTCCTTGATGTTCATGGTCCTTTTCAGCAGAGCATTCGAACTCTCCTGGCTCTCATCCCTAGAATCGTCCTCAGACTCAGAGGCAGAATCTTCCTCTTCCGTCCCCTGTCTACGGCTTTTCTTTCTTTCCAGAATTGTTTTTTTATCATTCTGTAAGCATGAGCTAGAAAACAACTGCTCAGAAGAACCGTTTTTATCTGACTTTTTTGCCAGCTTCTTGGTGGGGAATTGGAAGGCTACTCGAAGACCAATACTGCTTCTTGTAGACCTCCTTCTTTTGGGGGTTGCCTGTTCTTCTTCTTCATCTTCCTCTTCCTCACTCAAAGAAGTTTTGCTGTCATCACTCAAATCTGACTCCACGAGCTAACACAGTAAGAGCAAAAGAAAGAACAAAGGCATTGTCTATAGCAGACCTAACAAAAAAGATGCACATTTAAAACAATGCTTGCATTCGTTTTGGAAAAGCACAAAAAAATGAGAAAATCTTCCCCTTCTTATGATTAGTTGCCTCCGAACTTTTCAGTTAAATATGCAGTTGGTTGATGAATAAAATCTAAGTGCGGGCCATCGACTACTGAACTGTGTCCTGGTCACACACATGGCAGAGCCAAGTTCTGTTCGGAGCCTTAGGCAGGAAGCAAAACTCTAAGAGGGCAGGCTCCCCCACAGAGGAACAGCCAAGCTGGCATGTCTAAAAGCCAGGTAACAGGAGGAACAGTCAAAGAAAAGGGCATGCATGACAGAAAGGTTATCATCAGATAAAAATGAAGTGCTGAGGTGAAAAAAAACACTGACCTGTCTCCTCTACAGAGCGAGAACAGGACTCAAGAGGAAAGGCAGTGGGAGAGCTGACCGTATCTCAGTGAAGTGATCAAGGAGCAGGCAGATGACCTGCCAGAGGGTCCTCAGTCAAGGGCAGTCCCCTGCCTTTTCGGTAACCTTCAGGGCCATAAGGTGAAATCAAGTCAGAAAACTCTGTAGATCCAGGCAGGGTGGCTCACACCTGTAATCCCTGCACTTTGGGAGGCTGAGGTGAGAAGACCGTTTAAGCCCAGGAGTTTAAGAACAGCCTGAGCAACATAGCAATACCTCCTCTCTACAAAGAAAAAGAAAAAGCAAGCTCTGCAGGTGATTACAAAGCACCCTTTTGGTCAGCTCAAGAAATCCTCACTCCATATTTTCAAACCCCACATGGTACAGATCTTCAGCATTAAAACACTGCTCAGTCTTACAAGGGTGAACAAAGAACACAGTGCGCATAAAAGGCAGTAAGAGGGGCATGTCTTCCAGATGACAGCAGGGTGACATCTTAGATGTGAGAGGTTTAAATATTCAAAATCAAAGATGCCTTTCAGACATCCCTCCTTGACCACAAGCTAGGAAGTCTAGCCCAGGAACCACTGTCAGGGGATACTGAAAGTGGGGCTACCATTAGAACAGCAAGTGGCAGTAGGATGGACCCAGGACTCAGGTCAGGGAATTTGCTTCCTCCTTGATGATCCCCCAAAATTCTAGTTGGACCTGAATCAGAAATAAGGTGAGGGGAGAAAAACACAGAGACTACCAACCCTGGCGCATTAATCCACACCACGCCCAGCGAGAAATGAGACTTGGCTGCACTGATTTATATATTAAATAAATTAGCAGCTTCAGAGTTCAAAATGGTGGGCTGTGAAGGGGACACGGTCCCCAACTTGAGGGCACACGGTCAGGGAAGACTTCAGTTTTGCTCCACATACCAGTCACCCTCGTCATGTCTTTACCAAGGATGTGAAGCGGCTTGCTACCAAGGACTGAAGAAGGAAAGCACAAGCGGCCCACAGCCCAGAATGAGACCTGAGGAAAGGGCACAAGGTCAGCCCTGAGCTGCGGCTGCTTCACATCCGGCCAGCAGACCCCTGGAAGCAAAGGTTATGGCAGTTCCCCACTGTCAGGTAAGATGGTCTCTCTAGTTCCCACAAGGGTGAACAGGAAGTTGGGCAGGAAGCAACAATGCTTGTCTTCTTACTGAATTCTAAAATGAAACTGGCAGGAGTGCCTGCACTGAGCTACGAGCTACATCATCATCTACATAACACATCCCAATTCTAGCCCTAAGTATACAGACTCCAAGGGAGAGAAAAAGACTTCTGGGGTCATTCTCTTTTTCTCACTAGAAACACATGTCATCTGAATAATTAGATATCCCTTAGCTGAAGAACAGAAGATAAATAAATCACTGAGGGATGCTACCCATGAGGGTTTTGGCAGGACCTTGCTGGCAAAGAACTGGGGACTTGTTGGCCAGAACCCATGAACTGCCACACAAACAGCTTCTGCAGAGAGAGCCGAAGAAGAGCTGGGCCTCCAGGCTGGCACAGCTCTAGGCTGCTATTTATGGAAAAATACCACCATTCAAAAAGGTGCCCTACCATGAGGGCTTGTATACCCTGAGTCGAGTCCTCCCCCAGGCAAGATGGAGGACAAGGCCAACCCAGGAGTCACAGTTTATTTACCCTTCTACACAGGCTCTGTACCGAAAGCTGCTCCTTAGAAGCTTCTGATTGTGAAGAGGTTTAAACTCTATCTCATCTTGATACCAAATAAGAAAGGGGGATGTTTATTTTATTATTATTATTATTTTTGAGTCAGAGTCTCATTCTGTTGCCCAGGTTGGAGTGCAATGGCCTGCTCACAACCACTGCAGCCTCTACCTGCTGGGCTCAGGTGATCCTTCTGCCTCAGCCTTCCAAGTGGCTGGAGCTACAGGCATGCGCCACCATGCTCGGCTAATTTTTTGATTTATTGTAGAGATGAGGTCTCACCAAGTTTCCCAAGCTGGACTCAAACCTGTGAGCTCAGGCAATCCTCTCACCTCAGCCTCCCAAAGTGCTAGGATTATAGGCATGAGCCACCATGCCCGGCGGGATGTTTATTCTTTTGGATACATGCATACTCTCTTTCAGCTAGCAGACGACATTTTTGCACTTAAAAGAAATCCAAAGGCTATGCTTTCAAGTTACCTTAAGATTCAAATAACAAAGGGCAGTACACTAGCCTAAACATACAGAATAAAAGGAAGGGATCAGTCAACAAATCTGTTCATATAAAGTACAGATTTCTCTGGGCATGATGGCTCATGCTTGTAATCCCAGCACTTTGAGGAGAGGCCGAGACAGGTTGCTTGAGCTCAGAAGTTCAAGACTGGCCTGGGCAACATAGGGAGAAATTATCTCTACAAAAAAATTAAAAATTAGCCAGGCACGGTGGCGCACACCTATAGTCCCAGTTACTTGGGAGGCTAAGGCAGAAGGATCACCTGAGCCCAGGAAGTCGAGACTGCGGTGAGCCACGATTGTATGCACTGCACTCCAGCCTGGGTGACAATGAGACTGTAACTCAAAAAATAAAATAAATTAAAATAAAATAACATAAAACGTGCAGATTTCCCTCCAGAATCCAGGCAGGCCTAGGTCATCTTTCCCATTAAGCATGACAGCATCCAAATCCAGAATGTATACAGAGAACTCCAAGTTTGTACCACAGTTAAATCTGACAACTAACTTCAAACCTGAGACCATTATATCACACACAACCAGAAACGACTTTAAGGAACTGTCACTCTAAGACAGACTGAAAAGATATAAGAGGTTCAAGAAAGTCTTTGATAAAGACAGTAAGGAACCCTTGGGAAATACCCCCCAAACCCCACAGACACGAGGGAAGAACAGCTGGACTTTCTCTAAAAGAATAATGGACGGGTGGACCAGGAAGTAGCCATTTTTTAGGTTAATTAGCTTATAAAACAAATATAGAAGAAAAAGTAAAATCTGTTCATTTGTGAAGTGGCATCTTACAAGTGTAACTATAATTCAGAAACAGGACTAAACACACATTACAACCCTCAACCCTTCCTACTGTAATGATTACCATTACTTCTGGGTTACTCTTCACATTCAGGTCACTCTGCGTAAATCCTTCAAAATCTTCTGACTCTGAGTCTGTATCCTCTATAAAAATCCGTCTTAGCTCTTCTGTGAAGTATTTGGAATGGAAACGCACATCCTGCTAAATTAAAAACACACATATATCAGAGACGGAAAGTAGCACACAGGGTGCAGGAAGACCAGGGGACTGCTGACTGGGTATAGTTTCTGGTGGTGATGACAAACCTTCTGGAGGTCGACAGTGGTGACGGCTATACAACACTGTGAATGTACTTAATGCCCCTGAACCGTACACTCGAAAATGATTAGCTCGGTAAATTTTATGTTATGTATATTTTACCACAATTTTTTAAAAGCCGACATGTACATATAGATACACAGTTTCTAAAGCTTACAAAAATGTAGACCGACAAAATTTAGACAATTCCAAAAATCAGGATGGGCGTAGTCTCCATCCGCTTCTGGCATGCCTGCTAAGTGCTCATGGAATCCAGTTACTCCTGCCAGAGCTGGCAACCAGGAGTGTCTGCTTTCATACAGAGCCAACAACATGGGGAAGGAAGGACGCGGGGAGAAACCTGGCTACGTCCCATGAGCTGGCTCTCCTGTCCAGCCACCATCCCAGGTCAGTATCGCCTCCCTTTTGCAAACAGTGACCTTCTCTGCAGGAAAGGGCTGGGGACCCACATGACTTACCACTCACTACCGGAGAGCCTGGACTTGTTCAACTACAGTCACCATGGGGGAGTCGATGGAACACTCACCCCCTCCTCTCCTAGTGAGCAGAGGTGGGCCACTACATGGTAGTGGCAAGTGAGTAGAAAAAAAGCCTTTTTTTTTTTTTGAGTCAGGGTCTCACTCTGTCGCCCAGGCTTGAGTGCAGTGGCATGATCACCACAATCATGGCTCACTGCAGCCTCAACTTCCTGGGCTCAGGTGATCCTTCTGCCTCAGCCTCTTGAGTAGCTGGGACTACAGGCATGTACCACCACACCTGGCTAATTATTGTTATGATTATTTTTGTAGAGACAAGGTTGCGCTATGTTGCCCAGGCTGATCTTGAACTCCTGGGCTCAAGCAATCCTCCTGCCTCGGTCTCCCAAAGTGCTGGGGTTAGTCATGAGCCACTGCACCTAGCCTAAAAAAGACATTTTTTAATGATGACTTTTTCTTTCTTCTGAAATACTGCAAAGAAGAAACCCAGCTCTCTTAATGGTATGCTTGAAAAAAAAGGAAGGGAAGGAAAAAACAAACTATGGACTGAGGGAAACCTGCAAGACCAGCCTCCTGCAAGCCCGTCACGCTCTACCAGGACCCAAGTTGTCCCCAGTTCCCTTTGACGTCTCTTCCTCCCACCCTCGATATAGCAATGACCCCTAGTAATACCACATGTGGCTGAGAATCTTTATCATCCTCCTGCCTTTCCCTGACTTTAATTATATACTTCTTCAAGCGCAGATATCTCTGGAGAAAAATAGATATAATAGACAAGTGGAAAAGCTTATGGGGCACAGAAAAAGAAAAGCCTAAGTCTAAGAAAAGCATTTTATAAGCTTAAATATGCCTCCTATGAATTATTATGGGTAATTGGAGTGAGTTTGCTCAGAGCTAAATTACTTTGTTCTTTTGTTGATAGCTGTAGTGCAGCTGCTTGAAAAAAACACACACACAAAAGGGAAGTGTCTGTAAAGTGAAATGCAAATCGTGTTGAAGGGAGACCAGAGGCAGCATACACACACTGTGTGTGAGTTCACGCAGCATCTCTCGGCTGGTGAAAATGGATCATGAGCGTGTGGGGTCAGGCAGAGGAAGCAGTGGACCCCGGCTTGATTATTAAGGAAGAAAGGAACACAGCTGTCGCTAAGGAAACCCAACATGCACCTGCAGCGACAAGTGCAGGGAACATCTGGCTCCCAGGGCCGTAGGCCAGCCCTGCAGGCTGATTCAGGGCAATGGGGTCTATGTGTAAATTTCATCAGAAATCCAAAACTCTGCCTGGGGCCTGAGAAAAACATGTCACGCATTAAAGCAGTGAGTCCCAGTCTTCCAGTCCTCTGGCTCTTTCTATCCTATATCCTGGCCATACAGGGTAGTGGGTCACCTGGAAGAGATCAGTATCTTTGGTGGCCAGTCCTGATAATTAACTTAGCCACAGTCCTCAACAGAGGCCCTTATGCTTTTATTTTCCTTACTCCAAAGGGTATACCAACATCTTCATGTGGGTTTGTATGAAGCGAATCTCCACCCACATAGCTTCACTGTGTTCCTGGTGACAACCCTCGCCAGATTTTTATTCTCTGGAACCTGTTCATTATTCTTCTAAATCAATACTGAACACTATGATCAAGACCATAAGCAAATATTGGATCAGAAGAGGAGCTAACATAGGAGTTATGTTTTGTTTTTGAAGCCCATGTGACATGAAGAAACAGACTGGAGAGCAATGGCCTGCTGAACCAGACAGCCAGACAAGCACCCCATTTCCATGGCACCCAGTAAACAACCACTGGTGCTCACTCTGTAGTCAGGTGGGTGGGGGGGGGTGCTGGATGCTTAAAACAAGAGGAAAGAGGACAACACATAAGGACAAAAGTAAAAGCCAGGAAAGCTAGAGAGCACCATTCAAGTATGCAGTCCCCTCCATCAAGGAGTTTATAACCTAGGAGAGGAGCCGGATAGACTGTAAATGTCTTAAAGGAGAGGAGCAGACAGACCCACAAATAAGCACAATGAGGGGCAGTGTGATAAGGGATTCAAAAGCAATATGGCACACAGAAGGGAGACAATCCAGTAAGACTTCATGGAGGGAGCAGCATTTGAATTGCACCTGAACCGGGGTGGAGACTAGGAAAATAGTGAGAACACACACAGGCTGAAGAACAGCAAGGGTCAGTGAGCAGAAAGGGCAGAACAGTGGGTGAGGAGGGAATCAACTTGACTTCTGGTTCCTTGCAGCATGACAGGCAGGAAAGAGAGTGAGGGGAGGTAAGAGGCTGAGAAGTGGTGACCCTGGATTTTGGAACCTCCCAGCTCAGTGTGTCCCAGATGTGAGGTTGTGGACAGGTCATTTCACCTCTCTGAGTTTCACCACCTGCAAATTGAAGAAAGTAGCAGCACCCACAGCTCCCCCGGGAGGTCTGTGGATTAAATGTAGTATCTGTATGAAAAGCAGCTGGGGCAGGGTCACAGACCATCTACAGCATGCTAGGGTCATACCGGAGGGCCTGAGAGGACAGACCTGACTGCATCAATAGTCACCATGGCAGCAGAAGCAGCTGCTCTGTTTCTCAGTGCCCAATGCCTGCCAGTCTCTGTGCTCAGCCCTTTACACAATCTGCAGTGCTCAGAATGGCCCTCAGGTGGACCTGGATCCAGCAGGCTCTGCCTGCCCCTACCGCCTGACCATGGAGAGAAGGGCACTCTCTGGATAAGGGAGGAGGCGTGACCCAGTGCAGTCCTATGACAGATCTTAGTAGGAAGGGATGAGCATTCAGGTAAGAGCTATGAAGGCTATGGCAGCCGCAGAGGGAAGGTAAGGAGGGATGCAAAAAACAGGGCAGAAGTTCCATCAACTCCTGGCCAGGAGTCAGAGGGGCGGGGGGGAGAAAGGGGAGTAAAAGAAGGAGAAGAAGGTGGGAAGGAGGGGGAGGAAGAATTATTGTCAAAGACACAAAAAAATGGAGATGAAGTCAAGAAAAGGGAGAAGCCAGAGAGACAACAAGGACAGGGAGGATGGTGAGTTTCAGATCTCCCTCAGCAGCAGGACCGGTTCAGCAGGCAGTCAGAGATCTACCAGAGGCTGGAGAGAGAAGCCAAGCTCCACCTAAGAGCAGAGTAACAGCTCAAAACAGGACTGTCAATGAGATCATGATGAGTAAAAATGAAGACAAGCCTTGGAGAACATCCACATCTAGCGTAAAAAATAAGTGACCACAGCAAAGAGTAAAAGGGGTAACCCAGGGGAGTGAAAGGAGCTGGCTGGTGGCATCGAAAGCTGTGAGACTTACAAAAAGATGAGGATAGCAGAGACTCCCAGTGACCTCAGGAAGCACAGTGCTCTCCCTGGCCAGAACACACACACGGAGCTCCGAGCAATTCAGCAGGCTCTGCACAGACGTATAATCAGCTGCTTCCCTTCCTGCACTTGCCCTGTTGAAGCAGGGTGGGTTTAATGCGCAGCCTTTTAGGAGATGCTACAGTCGAGGGAGAATGAGTTTTGAGTGCCACCATGAACTCAGAAGAAAATGCCACTGACGGCTAGATACTCTGACTACTAAGGCAGAATATGAACCTCCAGGAATCTACCTCTCAGAACTGTAACTTGTGTCTAATAGAGATCAAAGTGATTAAAGCAAGAATAATTCTCTCCAGCAATTCCAAAAGTGAGATGCTAATGAATCATACCACAGGATTACAGAGGTAGCAATTGTCTGTCAGTCACTACATGTCCCATCAGGCCTCACTATAGCTTGAGGTGGGCTATCGTAGAGTGGGCTGGCCTCTCCTGTCAGCTCTGTGGGAGGACTCTGAACACAGTCTCACCACAGGTAACAGCCCTAAGGTAACCAAGAAATGGATTTGACCACATGAGGTTCCTTTATTTAAAAATAAAAATGTACACAGGAAGGATTAAAATGGCAAAAGTCAACTAGGTGCTCTAATTTTTTTTTAAAACAAGAAGGCATAGCACTTCTAAACTAAAATGCTCGACAATGAACTGATACCACCAATCTAAGATCATGCTCAAATAAAACAGCATCTAAACCAACATTCAGGTTTCCCAATAAACCCACCTGCTTGAAAGGAAGCATCCATACCTGTTTCCCTGACACCAGTGAGTCAAAACTATCACAGCTCTCCTCTGATGAGAGAGTTTCCATGGGAACATCATCTCGGAAGCCCACGAACTCTTCATCATCACTGGGGGCGTTAAAGATGTCAGCCACTTCCTTAGGGATCTGTTTTGGATTCAAAAGAGACGAAGGATAAAACCGGGGACTATTGTAATCACTTCGGGAAATTTTCTAGAGGGGAGTTGAAATCTCACCACTTTAACTCTCTGCCGTGGTGGCCCAGAAGACCCCTGTAATCCTGAGCAAAACATGCTTCAATTATCTTTTTTTCTCCTACAGTTGATTTGTCCTTAAAGTTCATCCATATAAAAAAGATTCCATAAACATTATTAAGCTCCTATTTTCTTAAATAATTTCCACCTGTAGTTTGTTATTTTTCTGTTCTTTGTCATATGCTGATTCACAGATAACAAAGTTCACACAATGAACACACAATGAAATAAATAGCTTTCCCTCTTTTCTATATTCTATATCAATTAAAGTAGCTGGGGAATTAATTCCATGAGAATTTAAATGCTACTAGGGAACAATTCTTTCTAAAGAGAATTTGTCAACACACTTACTGACAAAGATGCATTTGCTAGGAGTTTATTTTTGTATGTTAATGACATTTTCTCCCAACCCTTTGTATTTTGGGGTTTTTTTTAAAGCAGGATTTATTAAGAGGACAGAAAAGCTCCCACAGCCGGAGGGGACCTGAGGGGATTGCCCAACCCTTTGTTTTAAAAAAGTTCAAACACACAGAAAGGAGAAGAATAGTACAAACACTCGTAGATTCTTCACCCAGAACCACCATGTCACCACATTTGCTTTTTCTCTCCTTCAACAAATACTAGGTAAAGCCACAGGCATTTGCTGATATTTGACTGTTTGTGACCTGGGAAAACAGCAATTTAATGTGTGTCAACCTAGTCTATACATTCCCACACATTGATTAATTTGCAGATGTCATATTAATTAGCCCTAATATGATTCAGCATACATCTCCCAGGGATAAGGACATTCTCCTCCAGAACCACAAAAATCATAGTTGTGTCTAAAATAATTAACAATAATTCAGTGACATCATTTACTATAAGTCCATATTTTAATGTCTGCAATAGTTCCCAAAGTGTCTTTTATAACCCCAAGGCTCATGTGTTGTATTGGACTGATTTTTATGATACTGTTTTTTACTGTTTTTCACATCACTGAGTTTTTTTTAAAATGGCCTGGGACACCACCTTGTAGAATGTCATGCATTATGAGCTTGTCTGATTGTTTTCTCATGGTTAGCTTCAGGTTAAACATTTTAACAACTGTTCTACTTAGGTGACATGTACTTCTCAATGTACTGCATAAAAAGGTACAAAAAATGTCAGGTTATCCTGCTATTAATTAGTGATGTTTTTAAATTTTTTAATTACAAAAGCTTTCAAACATATTTCAAAAGTACAGAATAGTATTTTAATAAACACACAAGTTGATCCCTCAGCAATTGTCTGCCCATAGCTAATCTTGCTTCCAAGCTCAACTGCCTGCTTCCAAAATATTTTGAAACAATCATAGACATGGTATCATTTCACCCTGTATCACCACCAAATGTACAGTCGGTATTCACAGTGTTAGTGCCTCTTTTTCCTAACTTACAGTTTATTTGTATCATGATTCAAATAAAATCCGCATACTGGTCAATATGTCTCTTAAGTCCTTTCTCATGGCTCCTTTATCTTTTCTCTTGCAATTCATTTTTTATGAAACCCAGTCAATCGAATGCAGAGTTTGCCCAAGTCTGGAGGGTTTTTTGTGCTTTTTTTTTTTTTTTTTAATTGCAGCCCCGAGAGGTGGTGTTTAACAGACTCCTTTGGGTTTCACATAATTTGGTAGTTGAATCAAGAAATTCAAGCTTGCTTGCTTTTGGCCAGACTACTTCACAGGAAGTGCTATGCTCTTCCTTTGGAAAGCACTGGTCTGGCTGTCTCTCTTTTTTAGTAGTGCTGCTGTTTGCGCAACATGTTAAGGTGGTGGGATCTGCCAGATTTCTTCTTTGCAAAAACACTCTTTATCACTAATAAGGAATACATAGGGTGATATTTTGAGAGTCTGTGAGTATTCTTCTCCCCGATAACATTTCACTCAATAGTTTCCGGACATTTAGAAACTAAGACCAGCCAGGCTCGGTGGCACAGCCTGTAATCCCACGCCTTGGGAGGCTGAGGTGAGTGGATTGCCTGAGCCCGTGGGTTCGAGACCCACCTGGGCAACTTGGCAAGACCTCATCTCTACAATAAATCAAAAAATCAGCCGGACGTGGTAGCGCATGCCTGTAATTCCGGCTACTTGGAAGACTGAGGGGAAGGATTGCCGGAGCCCAGCAAGCCGAGGCTGCAGTGGCCAGGAGCGGCCACTGCACTCCTGTCTGGGCGACAGAGTGAGACTCCAACTCAAAAAAATAATTTAAAAAAAAGAAACTAAGACCTGAGAACTCGGTGTGTCTATTGTTAATTTAGTATCATTGCTTCTAGGCTCTTTGGGCACAGCAAGGATATTTTACATACTAATATCACAAGTTCACAGTGACACCTTGAATCCAAATCCAACATGGCAGGCTTCTCCCTTCCCTCCTTCAATCCCACATTGGTATCACCCTCCCACCACAATAAAACCCCTCAATTCCCAATATTTCTAATATATTTATCCATGAGCTCTATATACAATTCACACAAAAGTGTCAACTTTACACCACCAATATACTACCAACAACAGAGAATAAAGTTCAAGCTCTTTGCAGTTTTTTCTATCTTTGGAACACAGTTCCACCTATACTAGACCCCTTCCTTGAGGTAACACTTCGGTATGCGGAAACGTTTTACACAATCTTCCCATTTCATCATGTGGAGTATTAAGAGACGAGATTTAACAAAATAATTTTTACTGCTTCAACAGGACACTCTTAAGTCAATCTGACTTATTTACTTAGTTTATTAATTTATGTATGTATGTATGTAATATATGTTGGAGTCTTACTCCATTGTCTAGGCTGGAGTGCAATGGCACACTCACAGCAACCCCAGCGCTGACCTGCTGGGATTTGGCGATCCTTCCACCTCAGCCTTCCAAGTAGCCAGAACTACAGGTGTGTGCTATCATACCCAGCTAATTTCTGATTTATTGTTGAGATGAGGTCTCACCAAGTTGCCCAGGCTAGTCTCAAACCCGCAGGCTCAGGTAATCCACTCCCCTCGGCCTCCCGATGTGCTGGGACTACAAGCTGAGCCACTAACCTGGCTGATATTTTCTTTTTAAAATTGAGTGCTTGAGTTCGCATGGTGGCTCACACCTGTAATCCCAACACTTTGGGGGACCAAGGGGGGACGGATTACTTGAGCACAGGAGTTTGAGACCAGCCTGGGCAACATAGTAAAACCTCATCTCTACCAACAAATCAAAAAATTAGCCAGGTATGGTGGCGGGCACCTGCACCCCCAGCTACTTGGGATGCTGAGGTAGAAGGATCACCTGAACCCAGGAGGCCAAGGCTGCCATGAGCCGCGATCATCACAATCATGCCACTGCACTGCAGTCTGGGTGACAGAGACCCTAGGGTAAGCAGTTTTCTCCACCTTTGCTTTTGGACAATCAGTACAAATAACAATGCAGTAAAAAGTGCAAATAATGCTTCAGTATGATGGTAACAATAAATCTGCCCTCACGGACCCCTGAAAGGGTCTCAGGTTCCCACATACCACACTTTGACTGCTGTACTAGCATATACAGAGTTGAGTTTTCCAAAGTTACTTGGGGCTGGGCTCGGTAATCCCAGCACTTTGGGAGGCCGAGGCGAGTGGATTGCCTGAACCTGTGGGTTTGAGACCAGCCCGGGCAACTTGGTGAGACCTCGTCTCTACATTAAAACAAAAACTAGCCAGGCATGGTAGCATGCACCTGTAGTTCCAGCTACTTGGAAGGTTAAGGTGGAAAGATCACCGGAACCCAGCAGGTCAACATTGGGGTGCCCTTGAGCATGCCATGGCACTCCAGCCGGGGCAACAGCATGAGACTCTGACTCAAAAAAAAAAAAGAAAAATTACTTGGATTCTTTCAGTTCTCTGTGTGTGCTAAATTAATTTTACATTCAGCTGGTTCATTTAAGAAATTGCTAATTCCTATCTCACTTATTTTTATCATGATTTTAATGCTTCTTGGTTAAAAACAATTAGAAAATAATGGTTCAATCAAAGGAAACGTAACATAAATCCACAGACTGAATCCTACAAATTCAGTAATGAGAGGGTTAACACAAACACCTTCCCACTATCTGATAAAATCATCTCAAGGGACAAACAGGAATAACACTTACAGAATCAGAGTTCTAATAATTTTTTTTTTAACCACATTGAGCTGGATGTCATGGCTCATGCCTGTAATCCCAACACTTTGGGAAGCAGAGGTAAGAGGATTGCCTGAGCTCAGGAGTTTGAGACCAGCCTGAGCAACATAGTGAGACGTCGTCTCTACAATAAATCTGAAAAAAAATTAGCTGGGTGTGGTGGCGCATGCCTGTGGTTCCAGTACTCGGATGGCTGAGGCAGAAGGATCACCTGAGCCCAGCAGGTGGAGACTGCACTCCAGCCTGGGCCACAGAGTGAGACTCCAACTCAAAAAAAAAAAAAAAAAAGCCACATTTAAGCTGAGAAGAAGCTCTAACAAAGCTTAACCTTGACTTCGTTTGGTTGTCAGGGAAAGAAATTAAAACTTTTCTCAAGAAAGTATGTTAAAAACAGTGTTTGCTACCCTTACTTATTCAAAGGCATCTTTTGTTGTTATTTGTTGTTCAGAACTAACAATCCAAGAAAACATTCATCCCAGAGAAACACAGACAATACCTATGAAGATGTGGGTATATTTACATAATAGCCACTAAGTTCAGTCCCTGAAGTGGTGGCACTGAGAGAAAGATAGTGTGTCAATTTCTGTCCTTTTCTTCTTTTTTTTTTTGAGTTGGAGTATCACTCCGTTGCCCAGGTTGGAGTACAGTGACACACTCACAGCCACCCCAGTGTCAACCTTCTGGACCCCAGCGATCCTTCCACCTCAACCTTCCAAGTAGTGGGGAAACTACAGGC